CCCGATCTCACCGATGTATTTTAATCGGTTATCCCACAAACCACAAAGGTTACCGTATCTATGGTCTCCAAGACCAAATAACTTTTACCAATCGCAACGTCGTTTTCTATGAACAAGATTTTCCTTTCCATCAAACAATCGAACATACCACAATAGAATAGACCCCGGTAATTCCATTACCCATACCCGACCTTGGTGAAACCTCCCCTCCTCCCTCCACCTCGGTACTTGCACCGACCTCACCTCCTCAGCCCCCTGCACCCACGACCGCACCATTACCCTCTGAACCCGAAGCCGTGCCTCGGCCATCTCGGCCACGCCGTCCACCCGAATATCTTCGAGACTACCACTGCGCTATTGTGGCCTCCAATCAATCCTCTTCGGACTCTAAGGTAACTGAATCAGGTAATCTTTACTCCTTATCCAACTGTTTATCGTACTCGCGTTTTTCACCCACTCACCGCGTTTTTTTAGCCTCCATATCCTTAAATTAGGAACCTAAAACTTATGACGATGCGTGTCAATCTCCCAAGTGGCAGGAGGCAATGTCTTCTGAGATACAGGCCCTTGAACAGAATGACACTTGGGAAATTGTTCCTTTTCCTCCTAACAAACAACCCATTGGATGTAAATGGGTTTACCAAATCAAATATAATTCTGATGGCACCATTGAGCGCTACAAAGCTCGTCTCGTTGCAAAGGGTTACACTCAAACAGAGGGGATTGATTACCATGACACATTTGCGCCCGTTGCTAAAATGGTACCATTCACACTTTATTAGCTCTTGCTTCAATTCGTCATTGGCCTCTCTACCAATTAGATGTGAATAACACTTTTTTGCATGGTGATCTTGACGAAGAGGTCTACATGAGGTTTCCACCAGGTTTTCATACTAAAGGGGAGAATTTAGTCTGTCAGCTTAAGAAATCACTCTACGGCCTTAAACAGGCATCGAGGCAATGGTTTGCTAAATTCTCTTCTGCACTGCTTGATGTTGGTTTTCAATAGTCCAAGGCGGACTATTCACTTTTTTACATTGGTCCGTGGCTCTCTCTTGGCCATTGTCCTTGTTTATGTTGATGATTTGGTTATCACGTGTGATGATGAAGTTATGATTCAACTTCTCAAGCGATTCCTTGACACACAATTTCGCATTAAGGACTTGGGTACTCTCAAATACTTCTTGGGCATTGAAGTTTCTCATTCCAAGTCTGTTTTTCTAGTCACAAAGAAAATACACTCTTGATATTTTGTCTAACGCTGGTCTTCTTGGAGGTCGTCCTGTTGATACTCCGATGGAACCCAATATACAATTTCCGGATTCCTCCCCAACTCTCAAGGATCCAGGTTCATATTGACGACTTATTGGTAGATTAATATATCTTACAGTAACTCGTTCAGATTTACTCTTTGCAGTGCAAGATCTTAGTCAATTTATGCACTCTCCTAATGAAGACCATTGGAATGCCGCACTTCGCATTGTGCGGTATCTCAAGCATGATCCCGGCACTGGTTTGTTTTTCCCATCCAATTCTACTCTCCAACTTAATGGTTATACAGATTCTAATTGGGCATCTCGTTCTACATCTCAACAATCTATTTCTGGCTTCTACATGTTTCTTGGTTCTTGTCCCATCTCATGGCGTTCCAAGAAACAAACCACTGTTGCCCGTTTCTCAGCAGAAGTTGAATATTGTGCTATAGCGTCTGCCGTTTGCGAAATCACATGGCTTCACATGCTTCTCTCGGATCTCCACGTCAACACTACCACTGCTGATCTTTTTTGTGATAAGAAAGCGGCCATCTATATTGCCACTAATCCCGTCTTCCATGAACGCACCAAACACATCGAGATTGACTATCACTTGGTTCGTGAAAAAATTCAAGATAGCACTTTGAGCACTCTTCATATTCCAGGTCACTCCCAACTCGCAGACTTGTTCACGAAACCGGTCACACATGATTTATTTTGTACTTTTAAGAACAAGTTGTTGACATGTTTACATTCACCAACTTGAGGGAGAGTATTGGTAGATTAGGTTTATACTAAAGGGCATAATTGTCATTGTATTGTTTTTAGCCCTAAACCCTATGTATATATATTGTGAATTGTTTCATCAATGAAAGCAATGTTTGCCCAAACTCTACATACGAGAACATATAACCCTAGAATCTTAGCCTATTAGAGAAATGAAGATCAGCTTCTCTTCTCAAGCTATGAAGTAGGAGGACTAGGGCATAGATTCGTATTTAAAAGGGCTTCCTGTTTACTAAAATCTGAAAAATTCCAAAAGGGTTTCTTCTAGCATGAAGAACCTGCAAATTTAGGGGAAGAAGAGGGCAACTTCATGCGAGAAGAGTTTCTACCAAGCGAAGAATGTGATTGATGAGTGATTGTGCTATCTTTTAGACCGCTCAAATTGAAACGAATTAAATTACTTGTCTGCAAACAGATATTAGCCATGTCTAGACATGGGGATTGAAGATCGAATTTTCCTATCTTGCGAATAAACCTTCGTATGTACCGAAGCATAGGGTTGACGGTCGTGACTTGTTTAACTACTCTTTCTAGCTTGGTACGTTTTAAAAGGAGCATAACTTACTCTATTAGTTAGAAAGATCACGAGTGAAAACAATGAAATCCTCACTTGGACCACGAAAACAAATATACCATGCATTTCTTACGAAGCATAGCTCTATTCATCACATTATCCCTAGAATAATTCTCTATGTAATACTTTTTTGATGCAAGTTTATCACTATGACAACAAGATAGCTACCAAAATATTCCTGAAATACGCATGTTATTTTCCCTGGAAAACCAGCTTTCTAGGCAAGAAAGAAACTTCATCAGGGTCACGGGTGAAGTAAACATTCCCTGATGGACCCAACCCTAGCTTCCATAACTTGAGACCTAACTCTCAAACTGTATTGAGAAAAAAGAGCGCTTCAGATGACCAAGGATAATCGGCAACCTTTTAGCCCCATCAAATTTTCCAGAAAGGGTTTCCCGAATCTGGACTGGCTTGCTTTCGTCTTGTAATGCGAAGTGCCACATGAATGAATAAAAGAAGCAAAAAAGTATTCATCAATTCAACTCTAGATGCTAAAATAATGGTGGGGGACCAAACCTTGCATCTACGCAGCACTACTCTCCTTGGAATTCGTCACGTCCTTAGAATGGTCCAATCAATACTTTGATCAAATGCTAAATGACACGCACAAAAAGATGGTTGTTTACGTCAGATATGAAGCAAGAGGACAGTAAATAATTGCAAGTCCAACCGGGCAATCAGAATAAGGGAACATGAGGAGGGGAGACACGCCATTTGGATATAATTATAGCTGCTATCGCCCTAATAATTATTAAGCAAACGAAACCCTAATTCGAATAGTTTATATACATGGACATAAGAAATCAAACGACCATATGGCAAGTTGCTATGAAGCTCAGCATAAATAACATTTTGTTGTTTCAAGTACCTTTCCTGTTGCCGGCCGATAATGTCTTAAACAACAGTACCCTCCCGAATTTACTTGGTCCGGTCCGGACTTTAGAAACATTTAAGTTTCTATGGACCTAAAGAATGAATAACCAGTCGTGATTTCCTAATTTTTTCGTAATTGATTACGATAAAAAAAAAAAAGCGATTTTTTCCTTCCCTTGTTAAGATATCAAGTTGCTACATTTTTTCTTAAAAAAATTAATGCATAATAAGGTCGATGTATGAAGGATAATGACTTTCATTATCGAGTAATTTGTCATGCTATAATAAGGTCAAGTTGGCAACTCTATCAATGTGCACAAGCTTTGACAACTACTCAATCTTATTCAGCATGTAAAAAGGCAAATAAACAAATTTGCAAGAGTCCATTATCAACGTAAGCCACCATAAATGGATGAAGACATCTTTTTTCTTTTGCTTTTTGTATGAGTGATGAAGACATCTTAATTTACAAAGGGTTTATTTTATTTTATTGGGTTAATACCACGAAAAACCCCAAACTGGTACACATGTGACAATTTTACCCCAAATTATTTTTTTTTTACCACAAAAAATTTCAAAATAATACACATGTAACAAATTTATCCAAAACTAATATTTTGACTACTAAAAATCCCAAACTGGTACATTTGTGACAAATTTACTCTCCGTTGGTTTTCGTTAAATTGAATTAATACCATAAAAAATCACAAACTGGTACACCTGTGACAAATGGAGGGTAAAACATAAAACTGGTATATCAATTAACTGTCATGTGTTATTTAACAAAGCAATTTGATAGTAAAATTTAACGGAAACAAACTGAGAGTAAATTTGTCACAAGTGTACCGGTTTGGAGTTTTTGGTGGTCAAAAAATTAGTTTGGGATAAAATTATCACTGGTGTATCAATTTGGAGTTTTTTGTGGTATTAACCCTTTATTTTATGTTATTTGATTGTCTGCTTTCTTCCTGGGTGGTTTTTCTTTGATGGGTTTGATTACAAATTTGGAGTTGTCTCTTTCCCTGTCCTCCTCATTAAGTAGGTAACTATTCGATCCTTAAAAAGGAAAAAAAAGAGGAAACTCTTGACTTGCATGAATGCATACACCACCATTAAAACCTTAAAGTCGTTTTCATCGATCCCGACTTGCAAACTGTATCCTCCTCCTCCTTTTTTCCTCCCATTTCGATATTCTCCTCTTAACGCTTCTTGAAGGCCCCTCTCCTCCCCAAACCTGCTGAGTCTCTCTCTCGCTCTCTCTCTCTCTCTCCATGCAAGTGATATGAGCAGATTCTCATCAAGAACCTTTTCTCTTCACCCTGCTACTGCAACTCGTTGTGCTGGATACACACCACGCGACCAGAACAAAAAGAAGTACAGCTCTCTCTCTCTCTCTCTCTCTCTCTCTCTCTCTCTCTCTCTCTCTCTCTCTCTCTCTCTCTCTCTCTCTCTCTCTCTCTCTCTCTGTGAGGCGTGATTTATCGATATTATTGTCTTTTCTTGTGTAGGTTATGTGGCCAAAGCTAGTGCTCAACAAGGTCCTTAGAAAAAGTTTAAGCAGCAGTAATTTCGTTGCCGACTTGCCAGATTCAAGAGAGATAATGCCAGAATTTCACAGTTCAGATACCATGAAAGCATGCAATCAGCAAACTTGCAAGTATTATATATAGCTACTAAGATTCAAACATTTTGCTTCCCTTTTAATGAATCTAAATTCGAACTTACACATACCCAAATTCGTGCTTTATAATCAGGATTTTTGTCAGCTCTTGGAACGTTGGAGGCATTGTTCCACCAGAAGACATGGACATCGAATATTGGTTCGATATAAAGAAATATCCCGCTGACATATATGTTTTCGGGTAACCATTGCACTTCTATTTTTGCTCGAGAGCACTTATATGCACAGATTCTTGGGTTCTTTCATCTAAATCGGGCGATTTCAATTTAGTAAGTGTCTAATGTATGATTCTATTTGCATATCAGGTTTCAAGAAATAGTTCCTCTGAGTGCCGGAAATGTTTTGGGTTCAGAAAACAGCAAGATTTCCAGGAAATGGAATGCAATGATAAGAGAGACTCTCAACAAGTCGAGCTCTCGTGCAAGGCCGGGTCAAAGTTCTATGGAAAGCCATTCGAAAGAACATTTCCGATGTATAGTCAGTAAGCAGATGGTTGGGCTATTCATATCCGTTTGGATCAGGAGCAACCTCTGCGAATTCGTCAGTCATCCGAGCGTTTCTTGTGTCGGCTGCGGTATAATGGGTTGCTTAGGAAACAAGGTATGTGTTAATCATTCCTCTATTATGTATATAGTACATAATAAGACCAACCCAAGCTTAACAGGTCATTATCGTCACCGTCTATGAGATGAGGACTTTATGCTCTTTGATATTTACTTAATTGATGCCGATATTATTAGATGATCAGTCATTAATTCGTTCTCTAAATCTTGGTTACACAGGGTTCGGTGTCGGTTAGATTTTTGTTGCGTGAAACGAGCTTGTGCTTTATTTGTAGTCATTTAGCTTCTGGAGGGAGAGAAGGAGATGAGAGGCACAGAAACTCAGATGCAACAGAAATATTATTGCGGACTACCTTCCCACACGGCCCCTCGTGCAATTTGCCGAGAAAAATCCTCGACCACGAGTACGTCGCAAGACTGATTATTCTACCCTTCTTAACTCATAATCTTTCATTGATCTGTATCGCAGCACACTTCCTCTTTGATGTATGTTTATGATCCTCGCGATACCAAGGGTCCTAAACCAGTAGAAACATGCATATATGAAGTCATGATATTTTTAAGAACGACCCCTCTTCCATATTTGTATTTTTCTAAATATGCAAGTGATGTAAGCGGAAGTTCTTCTGCTATTCGTCAATCCTTTTGAGTATTCAACCATTATTTTTCTTAGTAGGTGGGATCAATATGAACAAAAAATGATTAGAAGGGGAATCTCTCTGGAGGAATACTTCGATTCTCAAGCGTTTGTTTCAACAAGCACTCACTCACACCATCCTCTTCACATGCACCTTTATTACTGCCACTTGCAGATTGAAAAAGAAAAGCACTTATCTAACCATCAATATATTACTCGTCGTGCAGCCGAGTGATTTGGCTGGGCGACCTAAACTACAGAATCGACCTGCCTGACGCCACGACTCGGTCACTAGTCGAGAAAAGGAAGTGGGATTTACTATTGGAAAAAGATCAGGTATTCTCGTAAACCATTTGCTTTGAACATTAGAGGTTTTGGTTTACAAGGTTGTGTTCCGAGGTTAAAGAATTTGTCGATATTTAATAAAGCTGAAGGCCGAGCTCATGGAGGGTCATGTCTTCCAAGGTTGGCAAGAGGGAGTGATCAAGTTTGCACCAACCTACAAATACTGCCTGAATTCGGAGGTATACTATGGTAAAAACCCGAATACCAAAGTCAAAAAGAGTCGGGCTCCAGCATGGTAAGTAACCATACAACATAATATGAAAAATGCTTAGTTCACTGAAAGAAACCCGGAAATATATGAGATTTAATAGAGGATTTTTTTCAGGTGCGATCGGATAATTTGGTTTGGGGAGGGATTGAAGCAAAGCCAGTACAACAGAGGTGAATCGAAATTGTCCGATCACAGACCTGTTCGAGCGATTTTCACAGCAGAGACCGGGATTTACAGAGTCCTGCAGAATTCAGATGTTTCTAACAAGAGGGGATTAACTGATACAAGAACAACATTTAAAAGAGTTTTTGAATAATAAAGATATATGCAGTACTATGTATCCGTGGTTCTACCAGATCCTCAAAACCAAATATCAAGACATACAGGAAACAAGGATATTAGGAATATACTATGATGCAATAATATTGATCATTTTCAGTGTAAAGAGGCTTTTCTAATATGGTAAATGCATACAATACAACTATGAGTATTGATCTATATTCAGCAGACCAACTCCATGCAGGCCAGCAGGCACGAGTGATGCGAGTGTATACAAAGTCAAAGCACATATACACAAGCATAGGCAAGTATTTCTCAAACACTGTAGTGTACAGCGTATGCACACACGAGAAAAGAACTAAAGAAAAAAAGATGATATTCAATAACGTTTATCCTGAGCAAATAAAGAGAGATAGACAAAGGAGAATTGTAGGAGGACAGAAAAAGTTCATTGATCTTTACTACAGTATACTTGAGGATCTTTGGTGTTTAGTTTGTGTAGCATCTTCTCAATTTTAGGAGGTAAAAGAAGATGACAGATTAAATTCAAAGATTATAACTCATTATCTAAAGAAAACTCAAACAGCTTAGATTCTCGTTTTGGCTTGCATCTTAAGATTATAACATGTCACAGGCACAATGATAGGAGCAAATTAATCCAGCATTAAATGATGTGTTATAAGCCAAAGAAAACTCAAGGCCAAATTAAATCCTGTCATTGCACTCATGACATGTTATTCCAGAGTCAAAAGTTCAGAATAGTATGATGAAAGTCAAATCCAGCTGAACCTGCTGGTGTCAAGTTTTTTGTTTTGATTAGAAAATTTATAAAAGCAGAAGGACTTGATTAGACAAATTAAAAGTCCAATGACTTGATTAAAAAAAGCGTGAAAGTAGAAGAAAAGTAGAATTTATCAGTCACCAGCACCATGACAGGAGTAAAAATACAGCCTTAAATTCGGAGATCTTGTCCCTTCGTTCCTATCCCAACCCAAAAACATAGAGCATCGAATGCTGGTGATTTCCTACAAATATTCCTCTTATTGATGGGGCTAACTTTTCCTTGAGGGAAAGACTTCCTTTTTTTTCCCTCGCTTATCACTCCTTGAAAACTCTCAAGCAATCACGACACAAATATTCCCAAATCGTTTTCGTCACTAAGAAATCCCTCAATTCACTTCAGATCACCACCGCCAAATATATTTAATCCCTACATTAAGTTGAAGTGCCACAACTGAAGCCTCACCTCTGCCTTGATGGAGGCAGTGGGAGACTTCTCTGCAGGTTTAATTCATAAAGTCTATTCACTTAGGATTTAAAACTAAGAAGCAAAACAACTTTCTCTTTTGGTTCTCCCTGATCTTACAAATAGCACAAACTACAAGCAGGCCCTAAATTTAACATTCTGGAAAATGGCAGTGACTGCATTTAAGTGACCATCCATGACATACATTAAGACTACATTCAGAAGCAGATAGCAGAAACCTGATGAAAAAAAATCATTCAATTGAAACTCCAAGAATACACTGATAGAGTACCATTCTAAGAATACAGGGAAGACAAATAGACAATTTGCAAGTAGAGTTTCTAGACTAAATCAGGCAACAAATAATAAGAAGCATCATTTTCAGGGTTCATTCTGTTACATTTAGTGTACAATATGGCACAGGAAACATCAATAAACTGTATCCAGGATAATTTGGACACGGTTCCCAACACCTGGTTGGATACATAAAATTTATGGCATCTGTAATAGATGTTGAAAGATTTAGCACCATGCAATGGATGAGCTAATTCAGCCAGAAATGAGAAGAACCCTGTCCTCGTCACTTAATAGCTTCAATATGAAGCAGGAATACAACAAGGGCCTCAGACCTTTCAAATGTGCTTCATGGCTAAGATCTACGCCAGAATTTCAGCAAGAACTTGCAATATCCTCAGTGCCAGAAAACAATAACGCCCTTTGTTTCTCCTAAGCACCACTGGCCTGATAACATGATGACGTTTTAACTCAGAGCAGATATTACTGGGTGAATGGATCAAAGACAAAATAGAACTATAGTCCCCAACCTAAATCATATGCATCCTGGTGAAGTGAAATAACATTTCCAATATAACTCAAGTGTTGACAAATGAAATGAGTGATCCTCCTATATAGCTTACATCGATCCAATATAAGTCACTGCATGCAAATTTTACATGGGTAAGGAGATGAATCAGTATTTTGACAATTCCCTGCTTATATATAAGACAAAACCATGTAGACTGAAAAGACTATCCTTTTACGCGATGTCAACACCTATAATGCACAAAATTTTAAACCACTACTGCATGTGAGAAAGGCCGATGTACGATGAAACTAACCTGAACTGACCTAAATAAGAGGGTGGCTCAACAGTCATTGTCGGACACTTCAATCACCTTCCTGAGAAAGAAAGAGTAATTATCACTCACATAAATGCAACAATGCAAATATCATCACATACTTTCCACTTCGTAGAAGCACAGAATGCAAAAGGCAAATATGATTGTTCATAGGAAGTAAAATTCATCACTTCGTCAAGTAGGTTGCAAATGATGCAACTGTTTTTCATAGTATACTGTCTAATTTTAAGGAACTATACAATCAGATAGCTATGTTTTCTACTTACGTTTAATGTCCCAAACAAGTAGTTTGACATATTGAAAAAGATAGGAGAACATAAAATTTTAACAGGCAATATCTGCAGCTGCAATGAGTTACTGACAATCACATTTGACATCTCAAACAAGAATCGCATACTGGACCGACTAAATGACTTTATCTAGACAGTGAGCACCACAAAAGACTAAAGGGGTTTGAGATACTATCCCTCATACAGAAACAACTGCTTTTTGTCAGTTAACTGTCATAAGAATTTACAAACCATCTTATTTTACACCTACACATATAATCAGGCCAAGTAATTTGTAGCTTCAACTGCCAGAAATAGGGATGAGCGGTTGGAGGTTCCTTACAGGTTCCACATAGAATCCGGAACCTACCCTCAGGTACAGGTTCCTCATTTTTTGGAACCTGGAACCTACCCTATCACAGGTTCCAGGATAGGTTCCAGGGTCTAACAAGTTCTTTTTTTTTTATTTCATCAAAACGAAAATAAACGCAACAATACTGAACAAACTTGTCATTCATCAAAAAGAATACAAAAGACTAGTTTTCCTGACATTACGGTTCAAATAAATATAACTAAAATGAGAAGTCATTGTGTAAATCGATACTAGGGATGATCAGTTCTATGTTCCGTATAGGTTCCACCATGATAAAAGGTTCCTTTTTTTTTTGAACTTTGAACCTACCCTATCACAGGTTCAAGGGTTGGTTCCAGAGTCTACTCAGGTTCCACCTGTATTATTAATTGAACAATTGCAGTGAATCATCACCTTTAATGACCACTGCTTACTGCTATGATCCACTAACCACAACTTATATTTAGACACACGAAAAATATGAAACATTAACAAGTTATAAAATGAAAGCTCGAACAAGTGGTTCCAGATTATATTATCATCTTATAACGCCATGAAACATAATAGAATCACACGAAGATATAGACCAAGAAAAAAGACAAAAAACTTATTTAGGTTTCAAGTTCCAGGTTTCACCTACCTAGAACCTAAAACCTACCCGTCGAAACAGGTTCCCCAATTTTCGAAACCTGGAACCTACCCTGCATACTTTGGAACCTGGAACCTACAGGTTCCTACTGATCAGGTTCTCAGGTATCAGGTTCTCAGGTTCCAGGGTAGAACCTAGAACCATACTCACCCCTAGCCAGAAATATGCTAAAAATGGATGGGAAATTAATCGGCAGCGACAAGTAGCCACTTCTCCATCTGCCAATGAGTTAACATGGATCAACAATAGTTCTCATGAAAATTAAATCAGATTAAAATAGATAGAGATGTCAAACTAGCGAACTTCAGAATTGACTCGAATGAAGAAATTTCACTGAACCACACACTTAAGAGAGCTGAATAAGACCAGTCAACACAAATAAATCTCATCCAATCCTATTCTTAGTAATCAAACATACCTCCAATACAGCTTTGGCTTCGGGTTCAAATGCTTTGGAAAGAATTTCATAGCTTGCCTCACTGCCCAGCTATCAACGAAGAAATCGAACCTTATGACAAATTGATAAAAGTAAGCTTGTAAATCTCCGATAAATTAAAAGAAAACATACCAATGGATTGACTCTTGATGGTGAAATTGATGATACAATGTATCTGCACATAATCAACAAGTAATCAGATTACTGGTTGCAAGAAGAATGTACCTACCATAGCTACTTATTTGATGTGCTTTTAGATAACACAAGATTAATACAAGAAGATGTGATCTCTCACTAACTTGGTAAAATTATCAACCTTAGTTTTCAACAGCAAAAGCTTCACTCAAACTGAAAAAATAATTACTACCACAAAAAACATATTGCCAACATGCTACTTGGTCCCAGCTAGAAAAATAATTCCGTTCCATCTCTGTTTCCTAATTAATATTGCAACTTCACCTAAAAATCCACATGGGGATTGCACCAGTTAGTAGTTACAGAAAGATATGAAAGATTTACCTCAGCTTACTAGTATAGAACTTCATAGCTGACAAATTTGTTTTCTGTACCGTAAGTACCACTGCACCCATGCGATTCTACAGAAGATATGCAAGGGAAGGTACAAGAGTAGAACCATCCAATAGATTAAGCAAAAGAATACATAAAACAAGTAGAATTAAGGTATCTAAAGATCGACTCATGATTCTGGAAACTAACAAACAATCACACGAATAACAACAAGATTGACTGAAGATGCAAAAGCATCTCCATACATTTCCATCCATCCTCCATCATTCCAAGAGATCTTCTTTAAAGAAACAAGAAAACAGAGATATATAACAGCAAACCTTTCTAGCGATAAGCTCGATCAACTGCATCAAGAATTTACCCAGCCCCTTCCCTTGGACACGAGGCTCAAGCTGTATCTCGTACACGTAGAGGACAGGTATTTCTTCCTCCACAAGAAAGCGGAAGTGAACAAACCCAACAATGCTTACGGTCTCCGACATGCCATCAGCGACTTCTTTTCTCACTTGGGCCACCGACGGCATCCCGTCAGCACCAGCATTCGCAACATCGTGAACAAATACATAGCGCGCCTCGGAAGTGACCATTTCCCGGCGCTTCACCTTCTCTTCCACAGGCCACTCAGCTCCGAAAGGACCCTCCATGTTGGCCTGCAGACCCGAAGCCAACAAAGCCTAATCCCTAAGAAAAGATTCGCAGACTCGTTCGAGGCAAGAAAAGAGAACTTTTTTTTTCCTCTGCGTTTCGGAGAATCAATGCCGTAAACCTTGAAAAGACTTCAGCTTTTTCCGGTACCTTAAGCAGGGTGTACACATACTGCTTGACAGAAGAAGACAACCTATCTCCACGTCCCGAATCCAAATAAACAGAGACACCTAACAATTGATCCGGCATCGTCACTCGACACAGCTATGACCACATTATTGTCCCGAACTTCAACATTCAGGACCGAACAGTCACCCAGATCACAGACAACAATTGGAAAAAAAAACAGAAACAAATGAAGCAACGAACAAAATCAGGCCTCGGAAACACGCGCGTTCCGACAGCATAATGCAGCGTACCGTTGCGGTTGTAATGGCGAAACGCCTGGAAGGACGCGAGATGGTCGGTTTCGGAGGAAGCCGCCCTTACCAGCTCGTCGACTGCTCTCTTCTTCTCCAGGACCTGCACTTCAGTGGGGGGGTAAAAAAAGACCAGAAAAATCGAGAGTTAGTCCGTACGTCCGTCCGTCGACGGATTTCCATCGGAATCCGGCGAGAGACTGCTCGGGGGGAAAGAGGAGCTCGTGTGTGTGCGTGTATACTTGCCTCTTTGCGTTTCAGCTTCTTCTCTTTGCCGCGCGCGCCCTGCCCCTTGGACTCCATTAATGGAAAGCTGCCGAGCTCCTCCTCGTTTCCTTCGTCAGCGACCGTGCAAAGTTGAAGCTGCGTCTGTAGACAGAAAGGGATGGCGAAAGAGGGCTGAATCGGATTTTGCTCCCACCATGCTGCAGACTCTTGCTGGAATTGCAAATTAACCCCCCCAATTTTTGAATTTTTACACTTTGGCCCCTAATTCTCTTGAAATCGATTGTAATGCCCCTGCTCTCCGCGTCGTCGGCTCCGTCCATTTTTCAACTCGAGCTCCGGCCGTGTGCTTGTCACGTGAGTAGCTAGCTAGCTACTCTTGAAAAATCTGTGCGAGAATAAACACGGAATTGCATTTCGCCCCCAAATTTGGGACTTATTACAAGTTGCCCTCAGACTAATTTTGTAATTTGACCCCTCTTGAGTTATGAAATCGGTTGCGATGTCTCCGTTGTGGTGACTCTGGCCGATCTTCATGAAAGATGTACACTTTCAAGAATTTTTCAGGTCTAGCCTATGCTTTGAAAATAATCAATCAAATAACCAATTTTTTATATTTTGTTTCGATTATGGCCTCCGAACTACGTTCTTTTTGAAGTTATGATGTGACCGATCGTGTATTGTTTTAAAAAATACTGACCTCATAGGGTGCAATATGGGGTCAGACATAGAGCAAATTAAGAAATGGAGAGGAAAATTCTGTTGCGCTAATTCACCTCACGTAACTGATACGTACGTTGCACGAAGTGATAAGCAAAACAAGTGAAGCAAAATAAAGAGGAGATCACAAATTTACGTGGTTTGACAGATAAGTCTGTCTACATCCACGGGGCAAGCACACGGAACTCACTTGTATAACAGGAGAAATTACAACGCACACCCCTCAACCCGACAAATACCAAACAGTGGGTTGCACTCTCAACCGTGAATCTTTTCTCAGTACAACTCTCACAATCACAGAGATACTGCACACCCAAGATTCCCTTACAAGAGATAACCCAGACCCCCAAGTTCTATTTTACCCATAACGTAGAGAAAAAACAGAGGAATAACCCAAAGTACGTTAACTCTTAACTGTTCCCTCTCTGTCTCTCTCTCCTTCACACGTTCCCCAAGAAGTAGAGGGGTGGTTGTACGCACTAAAGTAATGAAGGAGTGGCATCGACAGTTACTCCCTATTTTTTAGGTGTCACATTCTCCCACTTGAAGACTATTCTCGAATAGGCTTCACAGCTCCGATTTGCCCAACCATCACCAATCAAGTGATAACTACAAGCCCAAGAGAAGTTCTGCACCATAAAAACTTCTCTCTCGCAATAGGCTTTGTCAGCACATCTGATACGTTGTCGTTGGTGTGAATTTTCTGCAAAGAGATAACTCTATCTTCCACTACATCACGAATAAAATGGTACCTGACATCAATGTGTTTCGTACGAGTGAAACATTGGATTAACGGCCAAATGTAATGCACTCTGACTATCACAATGAATAGTGATGACTTTCTGTTTGATTCTTAGCTCATCAAGCAATCTCTTCAACCAAATGCCTTCTTTACAAGCATCTGTTGCTGCGATGTATTCAGCCTCTGTAGTAGATAATGCCACCACAGATTGTAACTTAGACATCCAACTAATTGCTCCACTAGCTAAAGAGAAACAATACCCAGTGGTAGATCTTCGTCTATCACGATCTCCTGCAAAATCTGCATCCACAAATCCAACCAACTGTAAATTTTGACTACTATAATGAATAGCCATATCAGAGGTACCCTTCAAGTACTGAAGGATCCATTTCACCACAGTCCAATGATCTCGACCCGGGTTTGCCATGTACTTGCTGACTGCTCCCACTGCTTGCGCAATGTCTGGTCTGGTGCAGACCATGGCAAACATAAGACTCCCTACTGCCGACGCATACGGTACTCGAGCCATCTCTGTCTTCTCTCGCTTCGTGCTAGGACTCGTTCGGAAGACAGGTTTACAACCAATAAGAAGTGGGGTATTAACTGGTTTGGCGTTCTGCATATTGAAGCGCCGCAGAACCTTTTCCACATAGCTCTTTTGAGTTATCTAGATCTTCCTATTTTCACGATCTCTGAGTACGGTCATCCCAAGAATTCGGTTTACGGCTCCCAGATCTTTCATATCGAATTCCCTAGCCAAACGATCTTTGAGGTATGCAATACCTTCTTTCGAAGTACCCGCAACTATCATGTCGTCAACATACAACAACAAGATTATAAAGCCACTATTACCATGATTGCGAACATAGGCACAATGGTCTGCTTCACATCTTTTGAACCCCAAACTCATAATGAAAGAATCAAATCGCTTGTACCAGCATCTTGGCGCCTGCTTCAAGCCATAAAGCGATTTGTTCAGTCGACAAACCAAACTCTTCTTGTTCTCTTCAATAAAGCCTTCAGGTTGAGTCATAAAAATTTCTTCATCAAGATTTCCATGCAAAAAGGCTGTTTTTACATCCAACTCGCTCAAGCTCTAAGTCAAGCACACATGCCACACTCAACACAAGATCGAATAGTAGTTAGACGAACAACTCGGAGAAAAATTTCATTAAAATCGATACCTGATTTCTGAGCATAACCTTTCACCACTAAACGAGATTTATATCGTTCAATATTTCCGTTATTGTCTCTTTCAACTTGTAGACCCACTTGGAACCGATAGCCTTTCGTCCTTCAGGTAACTTGACAAGATCCCAGGTTTTGTTTTTGTGTAAAGCCTCCATTTCCTCCTCCATAGATGCTCTCCATTGAGGAGCATTACTGGACTCACAAGCTTCTTGATATGTACAAGGCTCTCCCTCTTCAGTTATGCAAGCGAAAGTTGTCACATAATCATTTAGCCAAACTGGAGGTCTAGTAGTCCTCCTATGAGGTCCTTGGTCACCCCGAGTTTCACCACCGGCCTGTCCGTATGCTCTCTATCGCCTTCATCTCCACTAGCTTCATCAAGTATCAGTCAAATGTTCTTCAAATTGATTTTGAACTTCTTTTGATGATTCAAGTTCAAATATTTGTGACAAGTCAGCATTTGGCGTTTCTTTGTCTTTTTGCAACGAATCTTCATTGAAGACGACATCTCGGCTAATAACGACTTTGTGGATAGTAGGATCCCACAATCTGTACCCCTTTACACCTTCTGCATAGCCAAGAAAAATACACTTTCTGGACCTCGCTTCAAGCTTTGTCCTTTGCTCTTTAGGAACCCACATATAAGTATCACAACCAAAAGTACGGAGGAAAGAATAGTCAACAGTTTTCCAGACCATACCTCTTCTGGAATCTGTCCATTAAGAGCAGTTGTTGGGGAACGATTCACTATGTAACATGCCGTACATACGGCTTCAGCCCAAAAACTCGCTTCATACCAAAGACTGCTCAACATACTTCGAGTACGATCCATTAGCGTACGATTCATACGCTCGGCCACTCCATTTTGTTGTGGAGTTAAGGGACCGTAAAATGTCTTTGAATGCCATGCTCGCTGCAAAAATCTAAGAACTCTTGCAGCATATATTCTCCTCCATTATCGGTTCTAAAACACCTTATTTTTGTTCCTTTCTGATTTTCTACCAACGCTTTAAATTTCTTGAAAGAAGCAAAAGCATCACTTTTCCTTTTAAGGATGTAAACCCAAACTTTTCTGGAAAAATCATCGATAAATGAAATAAAGTACTTGGCACCACCCAAAGACTCATCAGGAGACTCCCAAATGTCATAATGTATCAAGTCTAAAATATTCTGACTTCTTGTTGTGGAATGACGAAAGGGAGTTCTATGAAACTTTCCAAACTGGCAATCTTCACAAAATTCTAAATTAATAGTCTTTAAACCAGGAAGAAGACCGCGATCAAGAAGTACCTTCAGTCCTTGCATGCTCATGTGTCCCAAACGCCTGTGCCAGATAGTTGCCGACTCTGTCACAGCATTTGCAACTATGGCTTCACTGACTATGGTCTCTCCAATTAGCCTGTATAAACCGCCTATTAATTCTCCTTTCGCCACGATAAGTGCTCCTTTGACGATCTTAGCTCGTCCCTTTTCCAGAATAATTTTATAGCCATTTTCATCAAACTTTCCCAACGACAGTAGACTTTTCCGCATATCTGGTACATGCCGTACACCAGATATTGTACGCGTGATGCCATCAAGCATGGTAACACGAACATCTCCAATCCCCACGATTTGACATGAGTTATCATTGCCCATGTATACCGTACCTCCATCACATAACTGATACGTATGGAACCTGTCTCTATGTGGTGTCATATGGAAAGAAGCGCCCGAATCCAAAATCCATTGATGTTGCACGCTCTTTATTGGGCTATGAGTCATCACCTCGCCATCTTCGGGTAAGTCTCGCATTTTCAACGATGTTTCCTTGGGAATTTGCTGATGTTGATGCATTTTGAGAATCAGATTTGCGATTTTGTTGATTCTCCTTGGATTTACAATCTTTACGCATGTGACCCTTTTGTCCACATTTCCAACAAGGACCCAAAGTTCGCCTCTTTGACATGGACCTTGACTTCTTTCTCCCACTGAAACCTTTGTCCATGGATCTTCCTCTGGCCATCATAGCATTACCAGAAGTGCTCTCGAGAGTTTTTCTACGAGACTCTTCCGTCAGCAACGTAGCTATAGTTGAATCCATGTCAAGATCCGCTCCAGTACTGAGACTCATGATCAAGGAATCCCATGTATCAGGCATAGAACATAGAAGAAGTGTTACCTTCTCGTCGTCCTCGATTTTGACGCCGATGGAAATCAATTTGCTCAATAGGGTGTTGAACCTGTTCAGGTGCTCATGGAAAGAGGAGCCTTCCTTCATCTTTAAACTGTATAATTGCCGACGAAGAAAAATTTTGTTTGACATTGTTTTCCCTTCGTAGAGATTCTTCAATTTCTCCCATAAGCCTTTGGCGGTGGTTTCTTCAGAGACATTGAAGAGGACAGAATCATCTAACGCCAGAAGTAGATCCGCCATTGCCATTTGATCTTTCTGTGCAAAATCCTCATCTTTCATTTCTGTCGGCTTTTCGTCTTTACCGGCAAGAGCAACTGCACAACCATCTTTCACCAGCACCGCTTGCATTTTCAGCTTCCACAATGGATAGTTGGATCCGTTGAATTTTGGCACCTCGAACTTTGTAGAAGTTGATGCAGCCATCGCACAAAGCTGAAACACGTACGTTGACGTCGATCATGTGCAGCACAGGCTTCTCGAACCGTCGACTCTGATACCAATTGTTGCGCTAATTCACCTCACGTAACTGGTACGTACGTTGCACGAAGTGATAAGCAAAACAAGTGCAGCAAAATAAAGAGGAGATCACAAATTTACGTGGTTCGACAGATAAGTCTGTCTACATCCACGGGGCAAGCACACGGAACTCACTTGTATAACAGGAGAAATTACAACGCACACCCCTCAACCCGACAAACACCAAACAGTGGGTCGCACTCTCAACCGTGAATCTTTTCTCAGTACAACTCTCACAATCACAGAGATACTGCACACCCAAGATTCCCTTACAAGAGATAACCCAGACCCCCAAGTTCTATTTTACCCAGAACGTAGAGAAAAAATAGAGGAATAACTCTGCAAGTCAATTGCTTGGCTTGTTAAACAAAAGATACAATACTTTAATGCCGACCATTTTATAAGAAACATATAATACAAGTATCAAACACCGATGCGAAGGCAGGACGATTCTTGCTTCGGTAGCCCAAATCGATCTTCGGTGGAGATTAGATAAAAAAAGTTGGTCCAGATCTATGTCAATGTGACTTTGAAATTCTTTACAGTACTCTACGGACAAGATTGAAACAATTTAAAAGTTAAGAGTAAATTGTCCCGTATGCCAAAAACTAGGGTGGCGAAATGTAATTCGCCTTTTTGTTGGTAGACAAATTTACTCTGTATAGGAGAGCAAATTCGTCACGGGATAAACACATAACTGGGCTTCAATTAAAAAAATGATCTGAGCCAACAACAGGGGAGACATTGTAACCGATTTCAAGATTCTGGAGGGTGATTTCAACAATTGAAATGTAGGGATCATTTGCAGTGAATGCCAAAATCTGGGGAGGAAACTGTAGTTTGCCCAGGAAGAGAGTGACCAAGTGAGTGAGACCAAAGTGTAGCTCCATAAGAAGAAAATAGGAAAAAGGAAATGTCATTTAATTATGGGCCGCGCTTTTTCCACTCCTACCATGGCTAAAACACTCCCTATCACAATATTTTGACAATTTTAACCTTTATGGGTCCCATCTTTTTTAAACTTCCTTTTTTGCTTGGTTGTAGTGTCCCATTTGTTTTCTTCTTTATTTTTTCTTGTGGGCCCCATTTTCCTCATTCTTCGTTACTTCTCTCCATTCTTACTTAATTTTGATCATGGTTCAAGCCTTGGTAGTATCTGTCGAAAAAAGAACACTCTCTTTTGTGGTCAATCTGTGTCACTTGTCGTCCACGCCGCGTTGCACTCATCAATTTTTCAATCGTTAATCGGAGTTTGATCCCCACTAACACAATAGACCTAAAGGCTCCCGCATTGAACTCAACGCCTATCAAAACATAGGGATTTGAACAATTGACGGTGGTTCCGCATGAGGGCTCGAACTTGAGAGTTGAGTTCACAATCACCTCTTCAGTCCTCTTAATCACCGGCGACGACAGCTCGGTAATTGAGATGGGCGCGGAAGTTAGAGAGATCGCGAGGGCAAGGAGGGGCAAATCCTTGTCGATCGCATTTTCGGTTTGCGTAAACAACTTAGTGAGATGGGGGGAAATATTCGAGACATATATCTGGAGGTTGGTAGGTGATGGCGAATCGACAATGAAGGTGACAATTATGACCAAGAAGACAAAGACAAAGAAGTAGACATTTCTGTTGAGCTTGATGAGGTTTTGGATAGAGCTTCAACCCCTTGATTTGAATCTTTAATGGGGTTTTTTTTCTTATCTTCATGATCGATCAATCGAAGAGTTTGATGCGAAATGAGATAATGAATGACACAAAGCGAAAGGGATGGAATGGGAGTGTAGAGATGTGAGATGGATTTTTTTACTTACAGTTGAGCTTTGAGTTGAAGAAATGGAGATGGAAGAGGACTAGTAGGGTGAGGAGGAGGTTTTTGCAAATTTGAACTTCAACACAGATTATTGACATAAAAGGGATGTTTTAAAAAGAGAGAGTACAAAAAAAAATGAGAAAAAGGAAAGTGGATCTGCAAAATAAGAGAAAGAAGAAAAGCAAATGAAGAATACATAAAAATGTTGGGATCCATGAAGGCTAATATTGTCAAAATATTATAATAAGGAGTGTTTTAGCTATATTGGGAGTGGAAAAAGCGCTACCCTTAATTATGCTTTTGCATACTAAACTTAATCCAGAATAGCATTTTCTGAGCAAACTATATTTTGCTTGAGCTTACAAGGAACAACTTTTTGATAAAATCATGACTCTCAGTTGATCTCCAAACCAATAATGGAAATGCTAATCGAGTGCATATGTTTAATGGTCCATTTGTTTTAAGGAAAAACTGTTTTTAAAAAATTATTTTCCAACTTTATGGAATGTTAAACTAATTGATATATTGAAAATGTTTTCCGTGAACTAAAAAAAAGAAGTTTAGATTGGAAGAAAATGACTTCTCCTTTTAGCAAGAATGAAATCACTTTCCCCAAACTACAAAATAAATAAAAACTAATCATGATTTTTATAAAAAAATATTTTTTTATCATGAATTTTCAGCGAAAGAAACCACCTTAAAGCTCCGTTCGTTTGGCGGAAAATATTCTTCCGAAAAATATTTTCCGGGTTTTCCGGTGTTCGGGGGCGGAAAACGTTTTCCGTGGGAAAATATTTTCCTTCCCCCCTTACAAAATAGCCTAAGTCTATGGAAAATGACTTCCGCTTCTTCAAAAACGGAAATCATTTTCCGGAGCTTCTTCTTCTTCTTCTTCACTAAGGTCGTCGACCGCCGCCGCCCGCCGCCGCCCGCCGCCGCCGCCGGCCACCGCCGCCGGCGAAAAATATTTTCCGAAACTTTTTCATATTGGTCGCCGAACACCGGAAAATTATGTTCCGGGAAAACATTTTCCAGGAAAATGACTTCCGGGAAAATATTTTCCGCCAAACGAACGGAGCCTAAGATATAGAATCAAGTTATTTCAGCAGCCTGTTTGCTTCATGCACGCTGCCCAGCATCCGAATCAAGTTGAATTTGGGCCAGAGGAAAGAAGGGATCATTTGATTACAAGGAAACAATGTTTAGAAGACCGCAGAACCGATGGCCCGGCGATATATCTAACTCCATAGCAATCTGGTGCTGTGATGGGATCGCAAATTGGACTCTCACAAAGATGCTTGTCAATCAACAACATGTACCAGAACATTACCGGATTCAGTTGGGCGATCGAGGATAAAATACAGCATACCCTTGCAGAGAACTGATCGGAAGACTACATGTCAGAGTGCAAAGCAGCGTAGAACCAACGACCGAATAATTACGTTAAAATGAGCAAATGCATCGTCCATAGAAAGCACGATCGCAATGCAAAAAGCACATAATCTATGTGTTTAGCTAAGCACTATTTAAGACCATCAGTCTTGCTAGCGACCACATGCAATCAAAACAAATCAGAAAACCTCCATCAGAAGCTCTCTCCATATTGTAGAAACGGGGACAGCCTTAGGAGAATGTGTGCGAACCGACTATTGTACTTACTACCAAGGTTACTCTTCCCATGTCCTTCAAAAGAACACAAACCCAATCTAACCTTCAATGACAAGTATTGGTTTGCTATACATTCAGTAATTCAGTTGCAATTAAGAGTGACCGCAGCTTCAGCATCTATGGCACATGTTTCCTGCAAACCATGGATAGCACCCGGTCAGGAGAAGGCAGAACAATAATGAAAGCCAAATTGGGATTTAATTCTCTGGGTCCAGAAGCAGCAATATGCACTTATACATATGCACTTATATCTAACATGAGCAGAAGTAATCCGAACAATAAAGGCAAGATCATTTCGTAGTACTCGTAAATTCAGTCATGCATGAAAGTTTATGGTCAGTTTAGAGTGACAATTAGATTTTTTGCTTTTTCCAAATCTTGTAGGGCACACTTTTGCTTTTTTTCAATCTTAAAACACCTAAAACTTTCACAATTCATAACCGTTGAAACATAGATACACATAAATTTTCATAAATTCGGGAAAATAAAAAAGTTTCTTTTTACTTGTGAGAAATCCAAACAAACAAGCCCGTAACTAATAAACTTCTAGGGAAAGAATAGAGAGCTGAGATCCGCAAAAGGCAATTGACTAACATGATGTCTTTTTCAAAGGTTCCAGACACCGCATTTGGCAACACTAACTCATAAAACACAATGAACAAAGAAAAACTATCAACTTACAAGCAAACAAAGATGGCACCTCCACATGAATGTAATAAACTGGTGATATCAACTCGATATAGATTAAGAAACAAAAAAGACAGATAACTACAAAGTTAGACCACGAAAAAGCCAGAAGAACAGCAGCAAAAACTAGCTGCATTGTCAGTCAAGAAAGCTAGCCTGCTTATGTTACAAATAAAATGCTCTTTAGACAAGATCGGGTTAATGGTGCCACCTTCGCCAGTTTGTCTCACAGAAAAGGTAATTCTCATTATATTCTATCCATATTTCTGTAAAAGGAGAGCGCTGTCATAGTCGGTCATTGGTCATCATGAGTTCCACAATGCAGTCAGATTAACACCACAAGTTAAATCAGGCCATGCACTCCTAACAGCGAGAGATGGGCATCCAACAAATACTACATCCAAAAATAGCACATTGCAGGTGAGGCTGCCCTGCATCGTATAAAAGGAAGGATGGATCCGACTCATTCCTCAGTGCGTTACCTTCTAAGATTCAGATTTCTGCTACTTCAGAGCGGATCATTCACATTATTGACTGAAAAAAGTAAATTTCATCCTTCTCATTCACCATAGAAGACACTATTCTGACCAAGTCAACAACTACTATTTATCGTAGTAAAAACAATGTACTATCTATACACATATTCCATATTTGCACCAAAGTTATAGACATGGTTTTATGAGAGCCTGCGGACTATCAAAGTCTCCTATTGGGAAGAGCACCTTTTTTTTGGTCGTTTTAAGCATTTCTGCTTTTACCGGGGTTTGAACCCCGGTCTGCATCCCTGCCCCACCCCTCCCTTGCCACCAGGCAACGTCACCTATAATTCAATCTAAAGTTAAAAGGGTGACATCTACCATTAACTGCAGCCAAAGCACATCGGTTGAGGAAACAGTCGGTAGGATCCCCAAACAAGAGAGGCAGCAGAGAGCATTACAGACTATAAAGTAGAATTGGAAGTTTGCCAACAGAACACTCACACATGATAAATAGCTGCTTAACTTTACATATCAAGGCTCCCGTCTAAAACCAATCCTATTGCAAAATACTCGCTGTACAAAGAAAGACAAGGATAAACAAGGGATAAGAGATGCTACCAGGCGAAAAAGAAAACAGGCAACAACATGCTGACACTATGTGGACCGCTTAAATAATTCAGACAAACCCTCCCCCCCAAACAAAACACCACCCGAAGCAAGAGGCGCCCGCACATTGATCCAACTCTAAGAACTGTCAGCTCAGACAAAACTCGGGATCAAAAGCACTGGGCAACACCAACTTGATATTCATTTCAATGATATGCACAACTCAAGTCTTCCTCACTGCCCACAATACCGCAGAGTTATGTCACCACGCGCACGGTCATCTCTCCAAGTAAAAGTTACGGCAAGAAAAAGAGAATTCCTATTCTGATTCATCCCGAAAGCGCAAATTCAAAGAGTCGCAGTAGCTCCGGTAGCCAGCAGATAATTCAAGACACAATCCTGAGAATTTTTCTCCACGAAATTCATCCCATAAGAACGAAGCAAAGCAGCAACGTCAGATGTTAAATCACACACTCGTTACTTTCGTCTCTCCAAATTACACACCTGAAGCTGCTGCGAGAAGCGGACAAACAACAAAACAATGGCCGACAGTTCAAAATTCAACACCTATATACCCTTAAATCGCCTAAGAATTACTCAGCGATAGCATTAGCACGCAAAAAACCAGACCTGAATCTCGAAACTCACCCGACGGCGATTCATTTGCAGTACCGATCCGCCTTCTTCTTCACTCGGTCATCGAGCGCGTCCTCGACGGTCTTGGCCTTGAACTTGGGGTCGTAACGAAACTTCTTCGCCTCCACGGGGAACAGCTCCTCGTACTTCATCTTCTTCGCCGCGTCGATGGTGTAAATGTCCTGGCCTCCCCCCGCCGCCGCCGCCGCGGAGGCGGCGTCGCCGTCGCCTCCATCCTCCACCCGCGGCTGCTCGATCTCGCCGTCCTCGGCGGCGGCGGCGGCGGCGGCGTCGTCCTCCTTGAGCTTCTGCTTGCGCTTCTTCTTGTGCTTCTTGTCGATGGACTTGCTGCGGGTCGCTAGGGCTCCGCCCTTGAAGGTCAGCCTCCCACCTTTCGCTCGCTCGTAAGGGTCCGACATTGGACTTGGCGGCTTTCCCTCAAGCCTCTCGTTCTCTTCTTCCCCGCGGCCGAATTGGGAACCAGCGCTAGGGTGAGGCGCTCCTTTTGCCCCTCAGTTTCGCCGGCGTGCGAGCCACGCGCCACCGCCTCTAGGCTCCGTGAGCTAAGTTGGTAATTGGTGGTGGGCTATCAGCTATGGGCTTGAGGTAATTCTGGACCTTCAATATAGAAAAATGACACAAACGATTCATAAATTTTGGCCTAACGTGAAATGTGATCCTTGAACTTTTAATTTGTTCAATGTGGTCCTTAAACTTAACTCAATATAAAATGTGATTCCTAAACTTTTAATTTGTTCAATGTCGTCTCTGGACTTTTGATACATATTCAATTTAGTCCATAAAGTATATAAAAATATTCAATGTAGTCATTGAACTATGGACATTATCCACATATAAATTTACAATAAGCCACTAGCCATGTTCTCCACGGTCCACGTTATTTATTATACTGAGATGCAAATATTAGAATACTTGTGCACAAGTTATGATCAAATTCGTATGATGTGATTTTTTTTATAAATTTGTTGATATATATTTTTTACATTATTCTCAGCATGAAAATATAATAGTTACGATTATTGTTTCTTTTTTTTTCAATTTTTTAAATATAAAAATTAAGAAAATTAATTTGGTCATGCCGAAAAGCTTTCTAAATATATGTTTAACAAATAGTCTTACATTTCCCCAAAGCACTTTTCAGTTATAGTTTACAAAATAGTCTTGTATTTTCCCAAAGCCCTTAGGGTAAAGGCCTTTGCATTTGGCCAAAGATTTGTCCCAAATGCCGAACCAAACGGGTCAATACGAGTGTAGACTATATTTTTGGCTTTGTGCTTAAAAATGGAATAATTACACATGTTATAGGTCGCATACTTCAAAATAGTAAATTTTAGATTTCAAAAGTACATTTAATGAGACTTAAAGAGTAACCTAGCACTCTTTTTATATTTTCAGTTTTTTTTTTGGTCGAATTTTATATTTTCAGTTTGTTAATTAGGAGATGTATTATTTCCGACCAAAAAAAATTAAGAGATGTATTACGTAAAGTATTCAATTTATAGAGTCAAGTATTATATTTGTCCACCTACATTAATTATTAGTGCTTCATCGAAATTTGTCACGTCTACTAGTTAAGCAATTGTTTTTTTTTGGACGGACTAATTAAGCATTTGTTACACGGAATTATTATCTTCATTATGTTCTTTTTTTTAATTTTCTTTCTTCCATATCCTTTTTTAATTAATGGAAAACGCACTTTTGAATTTGTCAGTGTACAATTGGTGATCAATAATTGGAAGGCTTTAAATGATATCTGTTGGACAGAGCCTGCGGTGCACCCAAATACTCCTCCTTTCCAAAGATTTTTGTGGTGGGCCCACCAAATCTGATTTTTGGTGCTTCCACTAACTTCGATTATATTTAAAATTGATAGTTCATTTTTTAAACAATTTAGTTGGTAATAATATTTTTTGTCCACTGATTATATGCCACGTGACATTATTATGGGCATGTTTCGACTATCATATTATATGTTTGGTCAAGTAATTAAGAATAACATCAAAAGTCTTTTTATATATTCCATTCAATACAAAACTTAACATTCTTAATTTACTATTAAATTTTATCTAAAACATTAGTCGTGGGATTAATCTGGTGATTGATATTCCTCGTCATTTTTTTATGTTGTGTTAGTCAGTCTTGTGTGGCTTAGCCACCATTCTTTTTAAAGATGATATGTTATATGTATTATTTGTTTTTACTCAAATTTGATCGAATTTCAATCGATTATAACTTTTTCATCCGATTTTTGGTTAACTCAATTTTTATATCAACGGAAAGCTCGTGATCTGAGTTTTTAAAAATGTGATTCATTCTTCAAAATATATGTCAAGATTGAGAATTTCCGGAATTTGAGCCGAATGGACTGCTTTGATAGAAAATTATGATATGATTTTTTTTTCCATCAAATATCCAATCATTATGATTTTGGCGGAAAGTGATATTTGAAGTGAGATTAATAGATCGAAAAGTAATCTAAAGACCACTTTGTAAAGTGGAAAAAGTATAAATATTTTTGTATAAAGAAAAATAGACAATAATCAGAGGTACTCTTGATAATGGGGAGAATCTACATGATTTAGGTGTAGCTAATAATATTTCCTAAAATTGGGTCCGTGTATTAAAGTACTCTCTTCCTAAAATTTCTTATTACATGCACAAAAGAAAGAGTATTGTTATTATATTCTTCTTTTTTGAGACGGAGCAAGGCGGAGATGTCAATGGAAAAAATAGAAGCCATCAACAATATGTGGTCGCCGGCCACTCCATCCACTGCAACCCCAGCACCTCAGCATTTAGCGCTGGGAATAGCACTTTGATGATCCAAAAGCTCTGGCTGGTTGCGAAACACCAAGCCGCAGCTACCACACGTCAAGGTGAAGTGGCGATGAATGCACGTGTTGTGTGCGATAAGTCCCTACCACATGTCAAGGTGAAGTGGCGATGGACGCACATGTCGTGTGCGATGAGTCCCTCCCGCTGATTTGAGGATTTTGCCACACTCAGGTGGTGGCAAAGCTGCTGCGTGACTTTGGGAAGAGGAGATGGAGAGAGTTGAAATGGCCGAATGAGAGATGGTTAAGTGAACAATTTTTTTAATTTTAAAAAATAATTTTTTTATATTTTGTATATCTTTTTTTTTCTTTTTCTTTGTTATTTTTAAAATGAAAATTTTAATTATTTTTCTTTTTTCTTTTTCCTTCTTCTTCGGTCGGCTGCATGCAAGCTCAGCTAGATCGACGAGCTTCGAGCTTCGAGCTCGAGCTCATGATCTGCACAAGCCTTAAGCTTGCCGGACGAGCTTGAGCTCACGATCTAGACGAGCTTGAGCTTGCCTATGGCCTAAGAAGAAGGAAACAAAAAAAGAAAAAAATTAAAAATTCGATTTTAAAAAAATAAAAAATATTTTTTTAAATGACATGTTATGATAATATGATTCACTTTAGCAATTTACCCAACAAGCTTACAAGTTAATAACTTAAATGGTCGAATATGGGTAAAATATTAATTTAACTTCAACTCATATTCGATCCATATAAATTTGGGCTTTAATGTTGCAAACCCATTTTGACCTGTTTTCAAAATTTTCAATGATCCATATTCAATCTAGACCCACTAAAAATGAGTTAATAAATGGGTTTCTTACCCGTATTACCAATTCTAGCTAGAGAACACAGCCCGCCCCTCTTTCCATTAAAAAGAGAGCAAGCAAAACGGAGGGAGATGATACTTGGGCTGTCTGATTTTTTGTTTTTATGTGGTCAAATTTGTTTTGTTCCAATGTCCGAGAGCTGCTTTTTAGCTTGAAGCTCCTCTTACTTCTTCTGTTCAAGATTCAAGTCCAAGATTCAAGCTCCTCTTCCATTTTGAATTTATGGAAGATCCATGGCAAAACTCCTTCGCGGCCTCTCCCACTGCCGGCGAGGCCATGATGGCCTTGCCCGGACCTTCGCGGCAGAGGGCAAGGCGGCTGTCGCCCATCTAGGCGAGGGCTTCACGGCCGGCGAGGGTCGCCGGTATTAAACAAAAAAAAGCTAAAAAAAAGGAAAATAAAATTTCAAAAAAAAGAAATTAAAGAATTTCGAAAAAAATTAAAAATTCAAAAATATATTAAAAAATTATCTACATCAGCGCCAGCGAAGCTACGTTGGATTTTCCGACGAGGCAAATCGCCGATGGCACTTAAGTAATCTTTTTTTCAAATTTGTGGCACTCAAATGACCAAAAAAAAAGTTATGGTATTCAAGTAAGTGCCGTACGAAAGTTATGGCACTCCTAATATTCTTATCCCAGGGAAAAACACTAATAACAGAAAAAGGATAATAAACAATTTAACTTGCAGTATATAAATTTTATTTAGATCGAGGGCCCATCAAAGCCAAGACAAGCTTTAAGTTCTCGTCCACTTGAACAGACTGTTTTTCGTTAGTTTGGGCAGCTAATTTAACCAAACAACATTATGAAATGAATAGCCAATTTAAATGGCTTACATTTTTTTTTTTAAATCTCAAGGTTGCCAAGTGAAATACAGCACCAATTCTAGCTATGAAGGATAGCATAGATATGCATTGAAACCTCTACACAAGCTCGAATGAACTAAAATATAAGAATGAGATAAAGTAGGTGCGCACGTTTTCGAGCAATTGCCAAGTGGGTTCATCAAATCAATTGCATTGAGCATCATGACATAAACATATCCGAGGAAAGAGATTAGATGAATTATATGATGATTTCGTTGACTAAAGAGAAACAAGAGAACCCGTTTGCTTTGTAGGTTATATCTATTTGTGCCCACAAAAGAAGTGCATTTTCTTCTTTTCAAATCGAACCTTATGCACATCTGTTGAGGAATAATTTGGTAGCCTAAAATTTATTTCTTTCTGTATTCCTAAACTCGGTGGGAATGATAAGTGCTGTCTGGTGAGACCAAACTGCGCAGAGAAGCAAAACTAGAATGATCACCGACTTAGCAAAATTGGAAGTCTGTCACGACCTTTATATGTTTGACCAAGAAGTAAAAGATGGAGATGTGAGGCAGCAACAATGCGACGGTCCCATTCCTTGATGACACATATCATTTTTCAAGCAAACACACCATAAAGACAGGGAAAGTAATTTCTGAGTATACCGTTGTTATGTCTTCTTATATACATATATAAAAAAGGGATAAGCGCATTAGAAATTTTAAAACTTGTCACGAAAATACAATTGAGTCATAAAACTTTCAAAAAGTACAATCAAGTCTTAAAACTTTCAAAAAGTACAATCGAGTCCTAAAACTTGTTGCGAAAGTACAATTGAGTCCTAAAACTTTTAAAAAGTGCAATCAAAAGAAGAACTTAATTGGATTAACTTGATAAATTTTAGGACTTGATTGCACTTTTTGAAAGTTTTAGGACTCAATTACACTTTGTGACAAGTTTTAGGACTTTTTTGAACTTTTTGAAGGTTTTATGACTCAATTGCACTTTGATGATAAGTTTTATGACTTTCAATATACTTATCCCTATAAAAAAAAAAGAAGGTAGATAAAGTTTATTTGCGATACATAACCGTATCAAATGAAAATACCACACATTAAATTTGACCGTACTAAATTTTTAAGTGAAAATACCCAATTGATATTAAAATACAACCAGACTCGTGTTTGAAAACTCAAGTACATAGTTGGTATAGTCGAACGACCAACCAAGCTGCAACGCTTTGCAATGACATGAGCTGGCATTAATTTACATCCCGAATTCAATGCGTAACACAAATTGAAAGCCGCAGAAAAAAGAGAATAGTCGATAACGCAGGAGGAATGATTGTTGCAATGACAGCGGTGACATGGCATAACGACAAATAACGCCATGGTCCATCACAATCATTAGAAAAATAGGGCGCTCTTTAGTAAAACACTAGGATCCTATCGGCTCACCCTAAACTGAGTGAATGTACACCCGGATCACTTAACCGGGTGAATTCCGAATCGTCACTCGAGCCCAGGTCGACCTTGGCCCGGTTCAACCTAAACCGGCTAGATGGAACATAATATACTATTCCGTGGCCTTACCTCGGTTTCTCTGAATGGATGACATCTCATGGTGAAGCCCACACGTGTTGTCGGGGCGCTCGATTGAGATCGTCCTCGGCATCTTCCCGGAGATCGGGCTGATTCGGCTGAACAAGACCAGCTCTAGGATTCCGGAAATTTACTTCTTCTCCAAGCCCAATTGCCGAATTAGCCCTAGGTTGAAGTGGGCTTTTTTTCTCCATTTCAACTCCACAATGTAATTCCATTGCCTTGCGTACTTAACGTAGCAGCTAACGACAAAGAAACGAAACTTCTTCCTCAATTTATCTCCAAATAATTTATTTGGCCATTGGCCTACATCACTTATTTAAAGAGACGATATGAGATCTTGACTAAACAAGGAATCTACTGAATATATAAAAATAGTAATATCGAACCAAAAAAAGGAAGCAAATTATTCCTAATTATAAATATTTAGACTTAAAGATTCTCTATCCAAACAAGACAACCGTATATTTGGTAATTAATTCAATGATAGAATACTTCTATCTTTATTAATGAAGGCGCAATCTAGGACTTGCCCCATTTAGTATCCTTGCGATTGCCCTGCTTTGGCTATTAGAGTGTCGCACCCTTTTCTCTCCGAGAAAGCAAAAAGATCCTATTTGTTAACTACAGTTATTTCTCTCGTATAACTAAAAATTTCCTTAAAAAAACTAATTGTGTCTAAAACAGGCGAACTGGGCGATAAAATTTCCCTACATGAAAATCATTGGATCTCTTCTTCTTTTTTTATAAAATGCGTCAACCTATTCGATAAAATTGAATCGATTTTCTTATAAATCCAAAAGCATATTATTTCATGAAAAAAGTTAAACTCAAACGAACGTTTTCTTTTCCAACAATTTTCTCACTTTTACTCAAACCTTCAATATACATGTCCGTCTATTTTCCATTTATGATACTGGAAATCCGAGGATAATTACATTATCTGATTTTCTCTTGTGGCTCGACGATATGTATTCCTCACTTGTCTATTTTAGCAATGTATATCCGGAAAGATAGTTGCAATCTGATAAGCATAATTCAAATGAGCACTTTCTTTCCTTTTTTATTTTTTAACAGAGAATTTGGATTCCTATTTGGTACGAGTCTATCTTTTTATGAGTGGCAAATATATATAGGTATTCTACCTCTATTTGTGGAATTATCTATCATACAAACCTTTAACAATGGCAGAGAATTGGGCCGATCTCCCCCAAGAGCTGCTAGAAACGTGCTCAAGACAACTCCTTCTAGATGACTGGTTTGCGTTCCGATCCGTGTGCTCGACGTGGCGTGCCGCCGCATTCGAAGAGAGGGTCGACGTGCCGTGGTTGATGCTCGCGGATGACGAGAGGACCGAGACCGAGCACGCCGAGCTCTACAGCCTCTTCAGTTTGCGAACTCACAAAGTCGCATTGCCGGAAGTGAAGGGGACGAGGCGCTTCTCTTCGCGGGGTTGGATCTTGACCGTAGGCACGGACTTGGAAGTCCGCATGCTGAAACCCTTGTCGCGCAGCGGCGCCGTCGCCGCCGGTCGCGACATCGTCAAGCTCCCTAGGTTGGACGAACTCCCCGGCTGGGACCCCGAATCATATATACCAGGACGCGCGTATGCGGATTTCGTCGACAAATTTGTCTTGTCCGCAAGCCCCGCTTCGTCTCCAGACTATATGGTGATGGTCCTTTACTCGCCCTATGGAAAGTTAGGCATATGGAAACCAGGCAACGAGGAGTGGAAAAAGTTGACTCGCCCGGGCAATGCTGTTCTTGACGTCATACATTATAAAGGGCAATTCCTTGCGGTTAACACCCCAGGTGATATATTCGCGTGCGATGTGGATGGACCAGATCCGACAGCTCAATACATTCTGAAGAAGCCCCCGGAAATTCGCGAGGATGGGTTCATGCAGCTATATTTGGTGGAATCGGAGGGGCGTCTGTTGCTGGTCTCGCGTTTGGGACAACAAGGTGGCAGCGATGACGATGACGATGAAGAACTTAACGGTGAAGATTGTAAAACCAACGAATTCCAGGTTTTCGCCGTCGATTTAGAGGCTAGAAAGTGGACCAAGCTCGAGAGCTTGGGGAACGCGTCCCTCTTCGTCGGTTTTAACTCTTCCTTTTCGGTACAAGTCGATGAGAACCAACATGCCATCGAGCCAAACTGTATTTACTTCACCGATGATTGCCCTCTTATGTATATCTTTACTAAGGATGGCGGAGGTAAGGACATGGGAATATACCACATGGAAGATGGAAGAATTGGTTCTTTTTATGATGGAATATCTCGTCATCCTATTTCTCCGCCTATATGGATTGAACCGAGTTCTTGACGCTGCAATTTGTCTTCAAGTAGGATTACTAGACATTCAGATCTTTTGTGGTAAGATTTGCTTATTTTATGTCGCTATAGGTACTCGTCTTTTAAGTTGATCATGGGAATGTAAATATTTTTTTCAATGATGTGTGGAATGTGTTGCTTTTGGGGATTGCACATAGTCCGTAGAGATTGTTCTTCTTGACATGCTTTGTGCCTGTGTCGACTAGATTGTAAAAATGTTATACGAATTATAATTGAGTCATGTGATAAAGTTTATTACTCCGGTTTGGAGTACTCCACTCGAGTTTTGACTTCTCGAGCTCGAGTAGGTCAATTTCGAGCTCGATCGGCATGACTTTGTCAATATATATATTTTGACTTTGCCACGATATTTATCAAGTTAAATTAGATTAGACATGCAACAAACTAAGAACTAGTGCAAGTGGGAGACAATACAGTAATCGGGCCGGAATTCGATCAATTAAATTGTATCCGGAATTCGTCACAAACATTTGTTGTTCCTTAGCCAATATTCTCTTTTGTAACCTTCCACATGCTCAGATAATTGATATATAATAGTTTACAAGCTTAGACAATATATTACTCTATCTGCTTATGAAGCATAGGATTACTTGGATAAATGTTCGCAGCCTCCTCTTTTCGGTAGCATGCCATGATCAATACGGCCAATGTCTTGATGATACCGAAAGGCTAACACTCTCCTTTCTGCTACCGAAGCCAATGACAGAGTGCTGATTTGAAAGAAAATATGAAGATTGTTCATAACATACTGCATACTTATCGATGATAAGTTTATTTCGTTTTATGAATTTATGAAGTACCTCGTTAAGTTCAAAGACTTAATGAACAGCGAGACAAAGCTTAATGAGCGGGCTTATCTTTATGTGTTAATACGAACAAGTTCATTGATGGTCCCAATAGCAGAAAAAGAGAAAAAAAAAATAGTGGATATCGGAAAATGAAAAAAGAAATTACTAAACCTGTACCGATTTCCTCTGCAACCGAACCATTAAACTCCTCTATGCCTCTATGCCTCTTCCGTTGTTCCCTGTCCGTCCGACAATCATGGCGATCGTTTTGATCCGAAGCGACATCCAGCCACGGTAAAAGGACACGCAATCAATGAACCCTAAGCCCGATGCCTACCGAAAATTTTACGAGCAAGCTAGCTATGCAAAATTAGATTCAAAATCGCATCAAGCTACTCGCATATAGTTTGGATTCAACTCGATAACTGCTGGAAGTCAAGTTGCTCAATTTCAAGTCGAGAGGTCGAGCTATTCGAGTATATTGTCGAGTTGAGCTCGAGCTCATCAATACTTAGCTTGCACATCTAATCGAGCCTTCATCATATTCGTTGTGCAATACAGAAGAAAACACTTAAAATCACATGAGGTTTGAAATTATAAAATTCGAGCTCGAGTTTTACTCATGAATGATGTACAATAACACATACTCGTACAGTTACAAAGCTAAGTAGAAGAACATTTTGCGCTTTTTAGCTTTGAAGCTCAACAATACTTAGCTATTCCCATTTTGCGCTTTTTAGCTTGAAGCTACTCTTACTTCTTCTGTTCAAGATTCAAAAGTCCATGGCATTAGCATTGCAAGTATACTGCTCCAAACACATTTCACCGCTTAGAGATCTGACGACGGGTTTCACATGGACCGACTGGCCACATCCTCCCGTGGGGTTCTTCTATCACTCCGCTACTCTTCTTCGCGAGTCACGTCTCCCTAACAATAGACTTGATGAGATAAACGCTCATGTCTTATGCACTGCATTGACGGCAATCGGCTATATCAACATAATTTCGAGAAGAACAACAAATTCTTCCCACTGCGACACGAGTATTATGTACAATAACACATACTCATATAGTTACATAGCTAAGTAGATGACAACAGTATGCCTTCTGAATCTGCTGTCAGTTGAATCTATTCTTGATTCAACCTTCCTAACTGACAAAGATGACATTCAGAGACTTTCCCCTTACTATCGTGCTGTTAAATCGGCACTTTCATTAGTACCTCTATAGAATGAAAGAACATGTTGGCTACATCTTACTGTCCTACTTTACAGCGAACTTATATGGTCCTTGGATATCAAAAACAAGATGTAAAAGCAACATTTACTTTCTGCTGTCACTACAAAATGAATGTGAATGGTTACTACAAATATCAGAAATGAAATGTTTCAAGATAATGTCCTCCAGATAATGCAATAAAAGACAATGAAGCCGAGGTACCTCCAGTTCATCCTCTTCCTTGTTTGACCTCTCTATGATCTGACCTTTAATGTCCATCTCATAAATGGAATTCTATCTTGTTACAACATACAAAATTTATGGATATTCTTTTTTATGGAAAGAATTGTCTATCCGACAAAACAGTGGATAATTTACCAACCAAAGTCACCAGTAGCCTTTGCAGGAGCAAGACCCTTTCTTGAAATGATGGAAGCGACTTGAATCTCTCAATATGATCTCGTGCTCAATTATCATAGATATGTATGTCATGGCACTGTGGCAATCTCCGCAGACACGTAAATTCTTGGTTATCCGGATCGGCGCACCAGGAGCCGTTGTTAGGATGCCATAAGCAAGAGCAAGCTTCTCGCTGTGCTCAGAGAGCAAGTCACCTTTTTCCTCATCATCCACATCATGTAGTGCAAAGCTCGTCTGTGGAACATAACCAAGAGCTTTGATTCGTAAGATCAAGTCCATGAGAACTTCATAAATTTGTTGCGATTGTGGATGAGTCCTGTCTCCCACGTAGAATGTGGCAGTACCCTTCATTCCTTGTACCCAGCTACAACCAGGTCTCTTCCTGATTCCAGTAGATTTCATTAGAGACCTGACCCTAGCCACATCTTTCCAACGCCTAGCATTTGCATATATGTTAGAAAGCAATGTATAGGATCCGTCATTCTCTGACTCTAGCTCTAACAATTTATTAGCAGCATATTCCCCAAATTCAACATTTCCGTGTAACCTAGAAGCGCTGAGCAGTGCAACCCATACAATGGGGGTAGGTTGCATAGGCATTCTTTTGACGAGCTTCATGGCTTCACCCAATCGACCAGCCCGTCCTAAGAGGTCAACCATGCAAGCATAATGTTCTACTCCAGGGACAACACCATAATCTCTGCCCATGTTTTCAAAATATTCAATGCCTTGATCTATCAGTCCAGCATGGCTACAAGCATAAAGGACAACTATGAAGGTGACCGCATCAGGCACCAAGCCCGCTTTCTTCATCTCATTGAAAACCCAGAGAGCTTCATCACCACGTCCGTGCATTCCGTAACCAGTCATCAGAGATGTCCATGAAATGGTGTTCCTGTGCTGCATGTGGTCAAACACTACTCTACCCGCATCAATATCTCCAGATTTGGTGTACATATCTATTAGGCAATTCTCAACATGAACCATCACAGAATCGTATTGATTTCGCAATATGTAAGCATGTATTTGTGTACCAAACCTCAAGGCAGCCAAACGAGCACAGGCCATTAAGCCACATGATATGGTGAAAGCGTTTGGCTTTATGAGGCTTGCTTGATTCACCATCTCAGAGAACAACTTCAAAGCATCATTTGCTTCCCCCTGCTGAGCGTATCCGCCAATCATCACAGTCCACGTTACCACATTCCTATGTTCTGGTGCTATCAAGTCAAACATGGCGCGGGCAACTCCAGCAGATCCGCACTTGGCATACATGTCAATCAAAGCATTAATAACCATTAAATCATCCCCCGGATCATTGTCTAGCTTATTCAGAACGCACTTGATGGCATAACAATGAGTCTCCTTCCCTTGAAGCAGTGCTCCTGTAGAAGCACAACCTGAGAGAAGAGAAACGAGAGTAACAATGTTGGGCTCTGACCCACTAAGGCCCATCCTCCTGAAGACATCAAGAGCCTCATTACCATGCCCCCTCTGGGCATACCCTGCAATCACAGCACTCCATGTCACCACATTCAACTCTATCTTATCACCCTCCATCATCTCAAAAAGACTCAAAGCCTCATCAAATCTGCCAACCTGTGAGTATCCAGTGACCATGGCATTCCACGAGACCAGATCCTTAACCTCCATTTGCTTAAAGACCTTGCTCGCTTCATCCAACATCCCACACTTGGCATACATATCCAACACAGCATTACCCACATAAACATCCTCAGACAACCCTCTACGAAGCGCAAAAGCATGTACCTGCTTTCCTTGCACCAGCGCCCCAAGCGAAGCACAAGCAGGGAGGACATTCACAAGGCTAACCGCATCGGGGACCTGGCCACTATCCCAGGTCATCCGATCAAACAATTTGAGCGCATTCCTACAATCCCCCGCCTGAGCATAAGCAGCCATAATCGAATTCCAAGAGACAACATCACCAATCCCTCTATCGGACAATTCATCGAACACCTTCCGCGCATCGTCCAACGCGCCGCACCGCCCGTACATTGCCACCACCGCATTGCACACGAACACATTACCCTCGAACCCATCAGCACAGACGACCGCATGGACCGAAGCGCCTCGACGGAACGACGGGAGCTCGCCGCAGGCCTTGAGAACGAAGGGAAACGTGTAGTGATCGGGCCTCCAGCCGAGCCTCTGCATCCTCCGGAAATAACCAAGGACGTCGTCGAGAAAGCCCAGGCGGACGCTCCGCCGGATGAGCACGTTCCACCAGTAGACCGAGTACGAGCAAGGCACGGCCCGCTCGAGCAGGGAGAGGGCGTGAGCCGGGGCGTCGCAGGCGATGTAGGAGCCGACGACGCGGGCGGCGAGGTGGGTCAGGCCCTGGACGAGGGTCTGCTGGTGGAGGAGCTTGGCTCGGCGCAGAGAGGCGCATTGCTGCAACGACGCGGTCGTGACGGCAGGGGGAGCGGAGGAGGGCGGTGTGGAGGAGAACCAGAAGGCCGTGCGGGCGTGCGGAGAGGGACGTCGGAGGAGTCGCTTTCGGTCTTGGTGGAGGAGTATCGACCGGTGCAGCATCCGACTAGGCTGCGAAGTGTCGTTGGGCGTCCATGATCATCGATCCATTCCGGTACTACAAATAGCCAAGAGCCCCCACGAGGCTACTGTTAATCAAGGTTTTTACGACATACCACGATACTTTTTAAGGTTATATACCTGAAGTGTGAAACTCGTGGTTGGAGAAGAAATTATCTAGTTGTGTTGAAACCCAAAAAAACGAGTTCCTTTTTCTTATAATCGATGAGGAATGGAGCGATGAGCAAGATTTAAATTGGGAAAATGATATAAATAGACATTGAACTTTGACCCGAGGTGTAATGCGATCCCTTAATTAAAAATTTATTCACTATTATCCCTGAACTTTAACCTGATGTGCAATATCGTCCCTGAAATGTTCGATGGACTAAATTGAACATATACCAAAAGTTCAGGATCTACATTGAACAATTTAAAAGTTCATGGATAACGTTGCATAATAGTCTAAAGTTTAGGGACTATATTGACAATTTTTAAGTTTGGAGACCACATTGCACATTAGGCCAAAGTTTAGTGACTATTTGTATTATCATCCCTTTTTCTTATTATCGATGAGGAATGGAGCAATGGACAAGATTTAAATTGGGAAAATGACGTAAATGGTCTTTGAACTCTGGTTCAATGTGCAATGTGGTAACTGAACTTTGAATTTGTTCAATATGGTTCATGAATTTTAGCCCAATGTGCAATGACGTCCACGAACTTTTAAATTTTTCAATACGGTCCATGAATCTTCGGTACATGTTCAGTTTAGTCCATAGACAATATGAAAATATTCAATGTTGTTTCTGAACTTAAATTAATGGAAAGATAACATTGAACATTTTCATGCAGTTCATGGATAAAATTGAACATGTACCGAAAATTCAAGGATTACATTAAACAAATTAAAAGTTTAGGGCACATTGCACAATAGAATAAAGTTGAAGTACCACATTGAATAAATTCAAAGTTTAATAAATCACGCTACACATTAAGCTAAACTTTATGGATTATTTGTGTCACTATCTCATTTAAATTTGGTCGGAATGTAAGTCACCGATCGACGTGAAGGAAAATTAAAGCAGAGTGTGAAAGCTATCTGTGAGAACTTGATTGATAAAGCCATCGACAGTGAGCAATCTTGAATTTGGGCTAAGTTTTGAGATACTGCAATTAATGAAAAGAGGCTTACCGACATATCGATTGAGGACAATAATAATGAAATTGATGCGAGCGCACGCGGTTATGCCATTATTTTGGGATTTATAACTTAGTATACACAATCATCACTGGATAATAGGAGATATTGTTGACCCATCTATTTATGTATTTACCAATTTATCGTAGCACGTAGTTTTTTCTTCCCTTTTGAAATCCTCATACAATTATCTTCTAAAACAATATCCCTTATGCAAAACACTCGAGTAATTGTCCGTTCCTAACAAATGAGTAATTGTTTGTTAATCGAGTCTTAGTGTACATGTTATCGCCCTAATTAATTTACGATCTAGTTTTCCCTAAATGACCAATTAGACAAATTGGATCGACTCTCAACCGACGAGATCAAAACGTCACTTGGAGACTTGTTAGCGGAATTGATGACAACCATGGGGATAATTATGGGGTTTAATCCCATTCAATAGATTTTCCGACTGTTTCTCTTGTCTCTCTTATTTCTTTTTCGTCTTTTTTTTGGAAATAATGATATAAACAGTCTCTCAATTTTGGTACAATGTGCAATGTAACTTTTGAACTTTTAATTTATTCAATGTAGTCCCCAAACTTTAGCTTAATATTCAATATGATCCCTGAACTTTTGGTATATGTTCATTGTACTATATTGAACATTTTCATATAATTTATGGACTAAATCGAACATGTATAAAAAATTTAAGATAAAGTTCATGTAGTACATTGAACAAATTAAAAATTCAGGACCATATTGTGTATTAAGTCAAAGTTCAGAGGCTCTTCGTGACATTTTCCTAAAATTCTCATTCAGGTGGTTTTCGGTTTCGAGCTGTTGTCCGAATTTTCCATAAATAAATAAAATTTTAAAAAAACTTATCCAAAAACTATAAAGCATTAAAAAAAAAAGAAATGAGAAAAAACGAAACACTTCTTCTTTTCGGACAAGCTGCCGATTCAAGTCGTCTACTCCGGGAGAGAGAGAGAGCTCTCTCTCTCTCTCTCTCTCTCTCTCCTCGTATAAAAGGGCGACCCACCCACCTAATTCCAACCACTCTCTAAATTCCCTCCTCCTCCTTTCTCTCTCTCTCTCTCTCTCTCTCTCTCGCTTTCGCTTTCTGTCGCTGCTCGAGCTCGCGTAGCGCAGGTGCTCCTGTTGCCTGCCTCCCTACCTCCCTACCTACTGTGCTAGGGTTTAACCATCGCGGCCTCCTCCCATGGCGTTCCAGGGGAAGAAGCTCATCAACGATCCCAACAGTGAGCATCCCTCGTCTCTCTCTCTCCCCCCCCCCCCCTCCTCCATGCGATCGCACCGCGCTGCGTGCGGGCGCGATCATCTTGCGTGCTCTGTTCGTTTCCGTTTCCGTGGCCGCGATTTTCTGAGCTCCGTTCGCTTCTCTCTCTCGACGCTTGCAGACGTGGTGACCGAGTACATCGAAGGACTCGTCGAAACTTATCCTGGATTGCAGTATCTCGACGGGTTTCCCGAGGTGCTGCGTCGTTAACCCCTGTGCCTTTTGTTTTTTCTTTTTTTTTTGGGGTTTTGAATTGGACTTGTGATTTGATTCCGAGGCTGTCGGTCTCATCGGTTTCAGGTGAAGGTTGTGCTGCGAGCTGATGTGTCGAGCGAAACGCATGATAAAGTCGCTGTGATCTCTGGTCTGTTTCCAGTAACTTTCTTCATGCATTGTTGATTTTTCTCTGTAGTTGTGGACTGCGTTGCTTTTGCACGTAGGATTCTTATGGTTTTGGACTTGCCGGTTATGACTGTGAGCACTAAGCGATGGCGTCGGTTTGTATGGTTTGGATGGTTAGATCAGGTTATTGTGTTGAATTGTATAGACATAGGTATGTATATATATAGTTATATGCATTTTGTTCAGCCATTGGAAAGGAGAACCGTTGATGCCTTCAGTTTAGTTATAAATTGATGCGGTCTGGACATGCAGAGGTGCATTGTAATCTCTCTTGTAATAGCTCAACATTTTATTTGCTAAACTACCATTTCTACTCCTTCAAGCCTTGCACTGCCTTAGAGTGAAGAGTTTGGCTAGTTTTCATTATTGGGGCTGAGCTGATCAAGTCTAAATTTTCTATACAATTGAATCACTTTGTTTTTGACCGGTGTTATCTAGCTGTTGTAATGTGATACATTGTAATCTATAGGAGGTGGAAGCGGGCATGAACCTGCACAAGCTGGTTATGTTGGGGAAGGGATGCTTACAGCAGCCATATGCGGAGATGTTTTTGCATCTCCTCCTGCTGATTCAATTCTAGCTGTATGTTTTTCTCCTCCTTTTTCTTGGCTTTTTTTTTTGCTCCTGATTGTGCAATTCTACCATAGATAAATTGTGTACAGAGGAATTTTCACAGGGAGCTTCCTGTCATTAGGCAGGACTCCGAAGCAGTAAGTGAGGGGCATGTCAGAAGTGTATGGGTTGAAATTTATTTTGAATATTCTGTTGTTTATCCCCTGTTCTTTGCTTTATCTGCAAGGACCTTCAATGGAATACATATCTTCGATGAGTTAGCATATATTCCACTTTGTCCCTTATTACAGATATTTCTGCCTCAAGGGTTTTATACAGTTTAACATAATTCAATTACAGGGCATCCGAGCCGTAACTGGTCCCATGGGATGCCTTCTTATTGTCACGGTAATTTAATTAGCCAGTACTAAAATGAGAGTGACTATATAGTTCTTTTAACAGAGAAGAATCACACTTGTATATCTCATGGGACTGGACAGAATTACACTGGTGATCGTTTAAACTTCGGTTTGGCTGCTGAGCAAGCTAAAGCTGAAGGTTATAAAGTGGAGGTGTGATTTTAGTTACTCTAACTATTACTTTGAAATTTGATAGCTCAGAGGGTGTGCTGAACCTTTTAGACTGATCTTGTTATCTTGTAGACTGTGATTGTTGGAGATGATTGTGCTTTACCTCCTCGGCGAGGCATAATAGGACGGAGAGGTTTGGTTGGGACGATCCTTGTGAATAAGGTAGTGTCTGGCCTGTGGCCCTCTTCTTCTCTTTCTTTACTCACTTGTTTGCACACCATTGGGTGAAGAAGTGCAGGTTGTCGCATGAGAGAGTGAGCAGAGAGCATTTCTTTTGTTCATTCCTCTAGTCTAGAGTACAGGAGAGTTTTCTGTTTATTCCTCTTTTTTCCTGATTGCATTTTTGCGAGTAAAGTAAGTTGAACATTAGTAGGTCAAATATTTTCTTTAATGTCACAGCAATTTTCTGTTAAGAGGTTTTACCTTCTTGTAAGCTGTCGATATTTTGTAAGATAATTTTCTCCCTTTTTTGTGCAAGTCCACCGTCTCAATAAAATTGACTGGGAACTAATCAAAAATTTCTGCGGTCACTTTTTACTTGTTGGATGTAAAATTTGAGAGTACTTAATTTGTAAGATATGTTCTCTACATAGGTTGCTGGAGCAGCCGCCGCCGCTGGTCTGTCTCTTGCTGATGTTGCTGCAGAAGCTAAACGTGCATCTGAAGTGATTGGAACAATGGGCGTTGCATTATCAGTTTGCACACTTCCAGGTTTGGTTACATCAGATCGTTTGGGCCCAGAAAAGATCGAACTTGGTCTGGGGATTGTAAGTAATATAATGCCAATCTTAATGCATATGGCTTTGCCACCGCTCCTGCATTATATTAATGGTGTAATATTTCACTGCTTCTGATTCTTCAAATTAACAGACTTCCAAATGAATATTTTACAAGTGTATTGCTTATGGTGCTCTTTTGCCCGTTTGAGGCTTGTATAGTCACTAGTCTTCACTTTCATCAGAATTTTCATGAGATCCCCCTTTTTTTTTTTTGCAATTATTATTCCTAATTAGTAAACATATACTTGTTCCAGCATGGAGAACCGGGCGCTGCTGTGGCTGACCTTCAGCCAGTGGATGTTATAATTTCTCATGTCCTTCAGCAGATATTATCTACGGTATGTCCTGATCCTTGGCAGATCACGATTACTGTTGGTAGTTCTTTCTATTCTGAATTTCTTCACAGATTAAGTTGTTTCTCCACGTAATGCATTCATAAACACAATGTTTATTTGTTCTTTCCTACCTTGAATTCCTGGGAGAATTATTATATTAGAGATCTAGTGTTTGATGCTAAAAAGAAGATCTAGCTTTTCAACCTAGCATTCAGTAACTATTTTGACTCCGATGTATTAATGGACATATATTGCTCGTGTGCAGCATGTTGTGGTAGAAAGCTTATGGCTGCTTGACATATTTGCAGGAAACTGGCTATGTTCCTATCACACGAGGTAATAGAGTGGTACTCATGGTCAATGGGTAAGTCCAGGAATCTCTTTTCTTCTGTGACTTCTATTGAATCTATTGTGGATTGATACAAGATAGAAGACCAATTAGACAGGATGTCAACTTTAGATGGCAGCTTATGTGAAAAGTTGCGGATACGGATACTGATATGTGTTGATGATGAGAAATTGTTAAGGAGATAGGGCATTGTCTTCTGAGTTGTAGAGAATGATAAAACAAAATGTTGTTTCTGTTGCTTTGGACCAATTTCTGAGGATAATGAAACTTTTTTATGCTGTGAAGCTGGGATAAAAGGTGCTACTTCTAGTGAACCCAGTTACTTAAGAAAAATTCTGGGGAAAATCTTGAACCTGGCTAGGGGATATTTTTCCGTTCATCAAGGTAGGTTGATGTTAGACTAATGTGACTTCTACCTCTTGTTGATGCTTTAGGATGTAGTACAAGTAATGCGATGTTACCTGAAGGCAGAGTTTATATCCTCAAATGTGTATTTTATTGAAGAGTTTGGACTTGGCAGTTATATTGGAAATTTGGCACACATTAAGAACTAGAAAGAGCAGTACATTTGGTGCATTTTATCTGTGGTTATCTTTATGAAGTTTTATGAGAGAGAAAACTGGGACAGTATGCCATAAATTGTGTCTTAATCGGTGAACCTAACCGAACTAGATACTACCCTAGAGGTAAAGTACTTAGGGATCTCTGAATGTAAGTGCTTAGTGACAAATGAGGGATGGGGCAGGAATCGAGGGATGGAGATCGCGCCCTAAAGCAGTTTCTGTATGCTAGTAACTTTTGAAGTAAACCTGATTCATCTGCTCGATCTTCAACAATAGATGTGATTATAAGTCGCTCCGTATTGATCTTTAGCCCCAAGAGGTACTCCTTTTCCACGATGAAAGGTCCAACTTTACTTGTATCATAAACCATGCAGGTTAGGTGCTACCCCTGTGATGGAGTTAATGATTGCTGCGGGAAAAGCAGTTCCTAAGCTGCAGCTGGAACATGGATTGGCTGTTGATAGAGTTTATACGGGATCTTTTATGACTTCTCTTGATATGGCAGGTTAGTGTTTTGGTATTGTGACAAGAAGTTTCTTCTCAGCTATGCACGGTTTATTATCGTCTCCTTTTATCAGGTTTCTCCATCACAATCATGAAATCTGATGAATCAATTCTTCAACGTCTGGATGCTGCTACTAAGGCTCCCTATTGGCCTGTTGCTGTTGATGGTCAGTATTGATATCAGAACTATCTTGAATATTGTGTTACACAGTTTAAATTGTTTGGCTGATATATTTGGTTGATGGTTTATATGCTACAATGCCTGGATAAATCCATGTCCGTTATTGCATGTGTATTTTGGAGTTTCAAGTGAAGCATCTGAAATCATATCAACTACTTACTTTACTTCCAGGCAATCGCCCTCCTGCAAAAATTCCTATCCCGATGCCATTGTCTCGTTCGGCAAAGAGTGATGAGGTGTGTGCAAAGCATCATCTTCTGCATTCTTTTGTATAACATACACACAGAACTTTCTAAGTTAATTGTCTATTTAGTTAGGAAAATTTTCATGACTTGTGTCCATGCATGAAGTACTTTCATTACTGGGGTTACATATTGAAATTCTAGGAGAGCCTTTGGGGCCTTTCCGACTTTAGATCCTTAGTCAGCGTGCTCCACTTCTTGGAAACTTAAACTTGCCTTTAGATAAGGCTGGATAAATGTCTAGACCAGTTTCTCCTTGCTTTGAGTACAAGATTAACTGAGGTTAGGTGGCTTAAAGTTTTAATAAGATCCTGTTAATGAAGAAAATACAGAAGATGACTGCCACAATCACAGGCTTTTACAAGTTACAGTTCCTCATAGCTTTATTGGGATTGCGAAGAGATACATTGGTCTGTGGAATTAGTAGAATATAATTATTGTCTAACGGAAAGCTTAAACAAAAGCAAATAAAGAACCTTGGAATCAAAACTTGAGAGACTATAATGATAGATGGATGCAGTGGCCTACAAAGATTATCTAGCTGCTTGTCCTATTTGATTGGTTGTGCTTATTTTGTAAAGACATATGGGCAGAACAATCCCAAATCCATGACATTTAAGGCTATAGAACATAGTCATATGTTCTGTGTCTGCTATTAATTTACACTGATTTTTGTTGCATGTGACTTGGTTAGCATAAAATTTTAACCTGACTTTATGTGGTTGATTAATATTTGTAGTCATTGCGTCGGCCGCTAAAGTTAACTCAGCAAGGCTATCTTCTTGAAATGGCTGTGGAATCAGCATCAAATGCAATTATTGGGTTGACCGACGATTTGAATGATTGGGATGCCAAAGTAGGCGATGGTGACTGTGGATCAACTGTAAGTTCCTTTCCTACTCTCCATTTGTTGCTTTATTCTTCCTCACGTGGGTCACATATGTTATTCATCCTTTATAGATGTATAAAGGCGCAACAGCTATCCTGGATGATATGAAAAAGCAGTGAGTTTTCTCTATTAGTCTATGGCCTAGCTTACTGCATAATTTCGATGCTGTCATTTGAGGAGACTTTGTCAAGGAAATAAAAATTGACCTGTGTGTTATTGTTGCTGCCAAACCTAGCATCTTATGTGCTCAGATGATAAGATAACCTCATGATGGCCATCTTATGTTGGACAGGTTCTTGCTGTCAGCTATATCTTAATCTCATTTCTCCATCTCCTTTTATAAGCTTTTGCCATGCATTGCTAGGTTGGGGGATTTATGTGCATGTGACAGAGAGACTTACTATATAAATTTTTAGATGGCATACGTCTGCTTCACTAAACTCTTGCTGGTATGTTGAGACATATACATAAATGGCTCAGTTCCTGGGGGGGTTTCCAAACATACCCTTTTTTATTGCAGTTGTATGTCAACGTTGACTTAGGGGAAGTTTTCTAGTACATGTCATCTTTCTCCATTTGCTACCTTGATTCCTGGTGCTATATGAAGAATTCTTCTTTTTCCTGCAATGTAGCTTTTAATTTGGATTACATTTGTTCTGTGCGACACATCTCTGTTGTTCTGTTCCTTTTCTTTCTTCATTGATTTATGAAGACCCCATATACACCTCCTTTCTTTTGTCATCATCAATATTTCTGCAATGGTTAGATTATCTACCTGACCTTGTCATTTTTTGTTTATTAGAGAAAATTCTAGCTCAAAATTGTAATTTGATTGGTTTCTTCTGTGATTATGTGCAGCTGTTTGCACAGATCTGTGCATTGTTTTTTCTTGCTATTGTCTTTCTCAAAACCATGTATTGATTTTTTCCTGATTTGATACATATAATTCTGTTTGGCAGTTTTCCACTAAATGATGCTGCAGAAACTATAGGCGAAATCGGTTCATCGATCAGGAGAGTCATGGGGGGTACCAGTGGGATAATGTACTATTAAATAATTTTTCTTTGTCATCTTTGGTTTCTTCTTCTCAGTCACATATCTTTACCTTCTCTGTTTTTATTCTTTCAAATTGGGCAGATATGTCATAATGTGCAAGGCAGCATCTGCACGCTTGAAAGCATACAGCCTGGCAGATATTACAGCAAAACGATGTGAGATGACGCTATGATGCCATATTATTCGATTGTGATGGCATCACTGAGCAAGTCTTTTGGTGTATAGGGGCCGAAGCACTTGAAGCTGCCATCACTGCAGTCAGTAAATACGGCGGTGCTAGTGCTGGTTATCGCACGCTATTAGATGCCCTTATCCCGGCAGCTGAAGTTCTCAAAGAGGTACTTATCATCTTTTATAGTTGGAGGTGGTTGCGTGGCTTGAAATGTGATATTGACTTGTTTGTCTTATCAGAGGTTAGATGCTGGGGATGACCCGGTCACAGCTTTTGTGCTCTCATCAGAAGCAGCGGTGGCTGGAGCCGAGTCAACCAAGCACATGCAGGCTCAGGTGACCTTCTATGATGCTCGTAGAACCTCCTTATTTCATTTGAATTTGAAACAAAGAACGAACTCATAATGAGATATATGGAGTGAGGATTTTTCCAGTGCAAATGCTTTTCATGCAAAAGGTAAAAGAGACAGGATTGTGGAAATCTCGACAATGTGACAACTCTCCCAGTCTTGTTCATTTCCGGTTAATTGTTAAAAATCGACTTCTGAAACTTAGAAGTCGGAAAGGAACTCAACTTTCCCATCCATCAGAATCGAAGTTAACTGACGAGTAAATCTAGTTACCAAGATCGATCTAACAGGAAGCCTGTAACAGATTACTTCTCCTTGCTTGTGATACAATACACATACGGAACATCATGCGCACAAATTCTTTGCAGGCTGGTCGTTCAAGCTATGTCTCCGAAGATCTCCTTGCATCTGCCCCAGACCCCGGAGCTATGGCCGCAGCTTACTGGTATAGAGCAGCGGCCTTAGCCGTGAAGGACAACTATAAAGTCGTGTGAGGCCATGTCGGACAAAGCCGCTATACATTCATCCTTCCTTTTGCTGCAAGTTAGCCGAGTAAAACTTTTTGTCCCGTGACTTTTGACCATTTTGCTTTCCGCTTATGCATTCCATGCGTAAAGCCGAGAGAGTGAGTTTTTCCCCCATTCTTCAAACTCTCCACCTGATTGACTGTAAAGTTGAGATGCGGAGAAGAGATAAACATACTTCACAATCCGAGTCTATTGCCAGAAGTTTCGCGGGGTTGAATTTTTCCCCCCTTGTTTCTGTTTCTCTTGGACTTGTCCAATAGATGTGTCGCGGAATTGATGATTTCTATGACTTCACTAGTGACTACTCAGACCTCACGCTATGACCGAGCTCTCTTAGAAACCGATGTTACTGCAACGCGAAAGAAGTAACGGAAGCAGAATTGAAAGTAACGAAAGCAGAATTACAAGATGATGTCGGCTTGCCGTGCCGTGTGAAGTTCAGGGAGCGGCAAAACGAACTCCTTTTAAGAGACGCTGAACCTTATCAACTCAAGTCCGCCGAGTGTTCGTTTCTCGACATTATTTCAACCCTATCTTTACAAAGGGGGAAAATTGTATAAAAAGTCTTAAATTTAGTGTGATTTTGCCAATTAAGTCTTAAACCTTTCAATTTTGTTAATTAATTTCTAAATATTTTTATATTTTTGCCAATTGAGTCTATCTGGTTAATTTTGATTGGAAATTATTGACATGGACGCTGGCCAAGTAAGATGATCAACATTGACATAGATAATTTCTAATAATATTTTAAATTTATTTATTATTTTATTTTTCTTTTCTTTCCTCTTCCTCCTCTAGCCGGTTACCGGGCGTTAGCGATAGCTGATGACCGGCCAGAGGCAATGGCTGATCAAGTCGACCTCGGGCGAGTCTTGCCATGGCTGGGTGAGGTGCGAGGTGCGACCTCGCCAGGGGCAGGGCAAGGCTCACCCTCGCCGACGGTTCGTAGGGGTGCGCTTCGCCAGAGACTAGTGACCTCGCCTCTAGCCAGGCGACCAGCTAGTGGTGGAAAAAGGAAAGAAAAAAAAATGAAAAGAAAAGAATAAAAATTGGAAAAAGAAATAATATTATTAAAAATTATCCATATTAGCGATTTTTGTCAAAAATTGGCCGGATGTACTCAATTGGCAAATCACGAACAAAAATTTAAAACTCAATTGGCAAATTTGAATAGTTTAAGATTGAATTGACAAAAATACGAGGTGTTGATGACTTTTTGAACAATTTTCTTGAACAATTTTCCCTTTGACAAAGTTGCAAAAGGTGTGGAAGTGATCCCAATGTTTGCGATCACAGAATTTTGGAGTCCAAATGGCGTACCTCGATAGACTGTTAACGCGATTGCTACATAAATCATGTCGATTGGCATGCGGCAAGAGACGAAAATTAAGAAGGAGAAGAAGGAAAGATCGATCAATTGCCTCCCCTCCTTCTAAAGAACGAATCATGAGTTGACTTGATTCGGCGCGGCCATCGTTTCTCCCGGTGGAAAGTTCAGTTCCCCTCCCGACATTATTGTCTTCTTTGACGTGGCTTGCGGTTTGCCTTTTACCCATTCAAACGTGCAATTAATTAGAAATAGAAACAATCAAATCTTCGAGAACTCAGCTTACCAATCTTGACCAATGACCACCGCCGGACGACCCCCCTCGTCAGACGAAAACTTCTTGGTATCTTCCCGTAACTCTCGGTTTGTCCAAGGTTTCAAATCCAAGAAAACTCATCGTTCCGGGGTCAAACAGAGAGCGAGAGAGAGTCCGCATTTAGAAAGTTTAAAACCCTCCCCTTCCCCTTCCCCTCCCCTCCTTTTTATTCCATCCTTCGACAAAACCCACGAAGCGAAAGCCCAGAAACGCGCAAAATCTCAGATCGAAACACGAGCGACCACCGGACTCGAGATCGACGGCGATGGCGGAGCAGCTGACGGAGGAGCAGATCGCCGAGTTCAAGGAAGCCTTCAGCCTCTTCGACAAGGACGGCGATGGTACTCTTCCCCTTGCCCCCCCCTCCGTCTCTACCGCCGGCTTCGCACTTTCCTCTGCATTGCATTCGCACGCGATTCGGAACGAAATGCGCCCGTGCTCGTTTGATTCGAGTTTGGGAGGCGTTTCGATTTGCTGTTCCGATGATTTGCCTGCACAGCAAATCAGTTGAAGCCTCCTCCTTTTTTCGCTTTGCTCTTCGCTTTCGCACGGGTTTGAAGTGATTACGAGTAGCTTTACTTCCGTCGCGCTTTTATAGGCTAGCGATAGCAAGGATTGGCCTCAAGTTCTCTTCTTTTTTTCTTCTTTTTTTTTTTCCTGATTACGTAGATTACGTGTGACGTTCGGCTCGAACGTGGTACAGGACGATGTTATTTGCTTTTTTATGCCGCTGTCTTGTCGCGACGCGGTGAATGTGATGGGTGGAGCGAGCCTGGTAACTCGGAAATGAAGGCTGATGGATGATCTTGTTATTATGCTGGGGAAGTCCAAGTGTGCCTTTTTGTCATTCTTACTGCCTTTCTCCAAACTATAGAGCGTGTGAGGGAATGAGCCCCCCCGTAGAGGCCCCGGAGTTCCCCATCTCCGCTGAGCCTCGGATGTGGAAACGTTTGGAACTCGTGGCTGAAACCCTTAAAAATCCGATCCGCCCTTCAAATTCTACCTCTCGAGGTGGAACTGCCGGCTGCTCGAGTAAGAATAGCGGAAGTGTGGTGAATCGTCCGATGTTTTTTCCCGCATTGTTGTCATCCCTCGGAGCATTTCGGGGAATGCTTGAGCTTTCCCCTTGTCGACCATCCTCCTCTTTGGACATCTCGTTCTTTTCCAACATCCACTTGTCAAGGAAGTGATCACCCTCGTTTTAAATTGGTCGACGATGTAAACTGAGGTTATGATGCGAAATGCTTATACGACTTGATGATTAAAATTGATGTTTTGTTTTGTGATCTTTACTTCTTCTGCCATACCCTATATTTAATTGTGTCCCTGCGAGCATGTCACTTTGCTCAAAATTAGCTGAAATAAACAGTTTTCCGTTGTGAGTTACTGATTTTATTTCTTACCTAAAATTGATTGGCCCTTTGTAGTTGTTTTATGCAATATCATAGACACGTCGCATGTGCATTACTAAAGATTTGATATATCTTCCTCTCTCATCCTAACTTCATGTTTGTATAGGCTGCATCACTACCAAAGAGTTAGGGACAGTTATGAGATCTCTGGGCCAAAATCCTACAGAAGCTGAATTACGAGATATGATCAACGAAGTTGATGCTGATCAAAATGGCACTATTGATTTCCCTGAATTTCTGAATTTGATGGCCCGAAAGATGAAGGTCAGTTTAAGTGCCACATGTAGTGTTTTAGTTGTGGACTTTGGAGGCCTTCAGATGTTTGTATGTTTTTACAAAGATTACAAACCAGCATTGGAGCCTTAAGGCTTATTAATTGCTTCACATCTTAGTTTCCAATTATCTCAGCTCATTATCATCAGTGACCCAGATGTTTTCCTCCCTGTTTTTGTGCTAACAATGAATTTCAGCACCACCAGGCCTGGTGGTTGGTGGAATTTTTTTTTCTTTTTTAGTGGTTTGACCAGTGGGGGGGGGGGGGGGGGGGGTGGGGGGGGTGTTGGAACGCTTTTTTAAAGGTCAGGGGCACCCTCCACCAAAGCAAAAATTAACCAAAAAAAAAAGAATGGATCTCATCATAAGTTGTACTTGAGGTTCCGAGATGCCTTTGGGTATACAGGCACATGTAGTTTCATGTGTCCTCTCCCTGTTTTGTTGAAATTCCAATTGCAGATAGTATTACTTCCTACCTTAGTATTGAGGGAAATTCTGTTATAGAACTCTGTAGAGACATTCCTGGAATACTAGGATATTTTCCTTTCCTTTTAGACCTTTCAGTTTCTCATGAAAGATATGCATGTGTGATGTGTCATTAGTCAGTTAAAGCGGGCAGTCTGCAAAGCAAGACGAATCCATGTTCTTTTGTCGGTTGATGTTCAATTCTAACAAGGGGACTTCGCAATTGTTAGTCCATCATATCCTTTTACGTTGACTAAATTTCTGCTAGTGCCTCATTCAACGTTTAAATCTTGAAGGATACTGATTCTGAGGAGGAGCTCAAAGAAGCTTTCAAGGTCTTTGATAAAGATCAAAATGGTTTCATTTCTGCTGCGGAGGTAAAGTTCATGTATAAGTGCCAGCATCTCCTTCTTGGTTATTTTCAGAGCCCGCAGCCACAACCAGTTTCTAGAAGGGAAATGAGATTACCGCATTTATGACATGTTCTTTATTGTGCAGCTCCGACATGTCATGACTAATCTCGGAGAAAAGCTTACGGATGAGGAGGTGGAGGAGATGATTCGCGAAGCCGATGTCGATGGTGATGGCCAAGTGAACTATGAGGAATTTGTCAGGATGATGTTGGCGAAGTGATTGCGGGTGCTGCAATGCTAAAGGGAGACAAGAGTCACTTAAAAACAATTGGTAGTAAAGAGTCACTTAAAAACAATTGGTAGTTCTATGAACCTGGAGTTTTTCTCCCCTCTCGTCGCGTGATTTTTGGAAATCTTGAGCAGATACATCCGGCTTTGTTCACTGTTATGATTATGTACGATATCTTTGCAGCTCTGTTCTTATCTGATCATTGTACTCATATCTTATCTGGTTTTGAAACTGCTTTTTGTTTCTTAAAGTGGATAAAACGAGCTTGATGCATCAAATACATGATGGTATGTGAACACGGGTCTTGGGGCCGGGCGGGGCATGGGAGGAAATAATCAAAGATGGAAACAAATTGTTGTCATAGGTCAATTATGTTTATTTCGTGAGATTGTCTGCTCAACCGAGTGTAGCTCCGTCGTGGTGAGCTAACAGTTCAGTCAGTCTTCTGATGCTGTTCTCTTCCTTACCTCGTGAGGAAAGAACAGGTAAACGAGTAATGCTTCTTGAGCGAACCTTAATACTACTTCAAGAACCATGCCTAGGCGTCTATTTTGTGTAAATTTCCATGCGACCTGCTTTTTTCCACTCACAGGTTGTTTCATTGTCATAGATGTACTTGATTAGGAAATGTTTTTCGTTTGGGAGCTTTGACTACTTGATGTGGGTATTATACGCATGCATAGAGTACCAAACTTGTAACATCTTCAATTTCAGTCCCTGAAAAATGGCTATGATTTAAGTTTGATGGTTTTCTAATCGGAGCCAATTTTTACCCTTGTTCTGGAAAACCCATATTCGGATCCTCTGTACTCTTTTCGTTTTGTCATTTTTGTGGAAAACTTTGTGAACCGAATTTCCAGAAATTTCCTTCTTCAAAGTTGTTCCAAATATGTTCAAGTTTAACATATTTTAATTTCAGAATTTTTGGACTTGATATGAGTAGTACGATAGTCTAATTTCGGACCATGTAAAAACTGTCCAGAATGAGTATTTCGGTGATGTTCACACTTTATTGATTTTATACAAACTTTTCTGGGCAGAATTTGAACAAACTTCCTTCACAAAAGTTGTTGAGAACTTCTTTCTCTATAACATATATAAATTTGGGAATTTTTGGAGATGATTTGGATTCTGAAAAGAGCTTACTTTTAGAAGCAAGAATTCTGTTCCAGCGAATTATTTTTAGTCTGTCTTTGAGCTATTAAAAATTGTGTTTACAGAAAGATTCAGATTTTATGTTCTTCATGGAAAATGTTTATTAAGGTCTTTTGTATAACATATTCAAATTTGGGTATTTTCGGAGTTCATTTACTATGTTTTTAAGCCCGATTTCTAGAACAGTGCAAAAACTGCCGGTTTTGTCAGATTTCAAAGATTCATCATTTTCTATATGAGAACGTTTGAATCTCGACATGATATCTTCTGGTGATTTAATGTGCTCATTCTGAGCTTTCAAATGAGATATTCTAAGCTTTGATTGGAGGTCATACGAAGGGGGAAACCGAGAGGGAGCCGAGAGACAAGAAAGAGGGTTCTAGAAAGTCAAAACTTGGTGAGCAAGTTGGCAAAGCTTGGTGAGCAAGTGGTCAAGGCTTGGGGAGCAAGAACTTGGGGACCAAGTTGGCTTGGCTTGCCTATAAATAGGCTTAGTTTTCCCCTTTAGTTACCGCACAAACACTTCCTCTTCCTCTCTCATCTCTCATTCTCACGCCTCTCTCTCTCTCCCTCATCCTCACGCCAATCACCTCTCTTTCTCTCTCTTGCTATTTGTTGCCGCTGACCGCCGTAGACGTTTTATTGTGATTATAGGTGATTATAGGTGAGTGAATTCCCTAACACTTGGATAGGGCGGTGTGTTACGTGGTTGGAAAGCGGCATGTAAGTGGATTCCCTAATCTCGGGATAGGAAGTTATGATGCGTTGTTGGCTTGAGTTCTCACCCGAACCTTTGTTGAGACTTGTGTGTTGTTGTTTGTCTCGATGTTGCACGCATCGCTTGTTACCATGCTTGATGTTCTCATCCATGCTTGTTGATTTATAAGAGGGTAGAATGTGGAGTTGTGAGTTTGGCTCGAGTAGTGATCGTGTCTGTGATGCTTGTTATTTGCATGAGTGCTTGTTGTTTTGCTTCATGATCATAAGTCAAGGCACGTACGAGTCACGAAACGGGGTATCGTATGGTCTCGTACTTATGTTGTGGCGTCACGGGACGAGTTCGGCTTGGTGCGTGTTTACATTGGGATGTGTAGATCCAAGCCAAGTTCGGCTCCGAGCCGACGCTCGGCATGGCAGACCGAACCACGTGCCCTCGACCGCGACCTGCATGTTAGGCGAATGTTTTAGAGATCATGATTACACAAGCACGGCACGCCTTTGGGCTTAATTGCATGGACTAATGAAATCAAGATAATAAACCGGCTTGTGTGACCCATGATGTGTGATCACTAAATAAAAGAAGAAGACTGTTGCCACATAGCATTGGCGGCGATGCCACGGTAAACTAGCGTCGGGATGCCCTAGTTGAGCTAGGATGCCTGGGTTGAGCCCAGATGCCTCGGTAAACTAGTGCCGGGATGCCCTAGTTGAGCTAGGATGCCTTGGTTGAGCCCGGATGCCTCGGGTGAGCTAGCCCCGGGATGCCTCGATTGAGCCGGAATGCCTTGGTTGAGCCAGGATGCCTAGCATGAAGTTGGATGCCTCGGTTGAGCCGGGATGCCCTGGTTGAGCCAGGATGATGATACATGAATTTTATATGTGTGCCAGTATGTGATACATGAATTTTATATGTGTGCCGGTATGTGATAAATTGAGTTTATATGTGTACCGGTATGTGATAAATGAAGTCTATATGTGTGCTGGTATATGTGACCGGATAAAGGTGAGTTTCCATGTGAGCATAGCAAGAGCAAGGTCACAGTTTTTGCTATTGATCTGCCATCGACATAAGATGGGGGCGTTACAAAACCCAAGTGTGGCCTCACCCATAACTTCAATTAAAGGGCGCAAAATCCTGAGAAGTAATGGATGGATTGGATCTGGGCAAGGTGGTTCATACCAATTAATTTTTTAGATTCAAGGATCTACACTATTTCATCAAACTTTCGGTTTTGTGTGAGAATAACCCCAAAAGGTGTCAGCAATACCTTGGTGATTGATCGGGAAAAGTGTCATAGTTCTAAACCTTTTGCATTGGTGCCAATTGAATTATAAACTTTTTTTTAGTGTCAATTGAGTCTCAAACCTTTTGTTTTTGTGCCAATTTAGTCATTCCGGCTAATTTTGGTCAGATTTTGCTGACGTGGACGCCGGCCGGCCGCTGGCGCTGACGTGTATAATTTTTAATAATATTTTAATTTTTTTTTCTTTTTTTTTTCCTCTCCCTTCCCTCTTCCTCTAGCCGGTTGCCGGACCGGCGATCGGCCAGAGGCCGGCGAGCCGCACTGGATGGCCGCGAGGGCGACCTCGGGCTGGGCTGGCGAGGTTTGCTCTCGCCGGCCATGGGCGAGGCTCGACCTCGACAGATCCGAAGAGGTTGTGCCTCGTCCAGCCGCTGGCGACGCTCCAGCCCTCGCCATGGCTGGGTGAGGCTCGACATCGCCAGATCCGGCGAGGCTCCAGCTCTCACCAAAGGCCGCGAGGGCGAAGGGCGCAACCTCGTGGCCTTTGGCGAGGGTCGGGCGAGCCTTGCCCGTGGTCGGTGTGGCTTGCCGGCCTCTGGCTGGTCGCTGGTCCGGCGACCGGCTAGAGGAAGAGGGAGGGGAGGGAAACAAAAAAAGAAAAAGAAAAGAAAAAAAAGAAAAATCTAAGTAAAAATAAAAAAAATTATTAAAAGTTGTACACGTTAGCGCCGGCGTCCATGTCAGCAAAATCCGGCCAAAATTAGCCGGAAGGACTGAATTGGCACAAAAACAAAAAATTTAAGACTCAATTGGCACCAAAAAAATATTTATGATTCAATCGGCACCAATATAAAAGGTTTATGACGTTTTTGACAATTTTCCCGTGGTTGATCCAACACTATCCACAGTCATGTATGGTCATGGTGAGTGCAACTTGTCTAATGGGGTCATCCTTGCGATCATCGTAAGCGAGAAGTAAATGTCGAGACTTCTTTATGGTATCGGTTTTTCCTCACGCGCTTTTAGCGCTGTCGGGCAATTATTAGAAACCCTACGGGTCACACGAACTAGTTGTCTGATTTTCGGAAGTAGCCTGCTCGACATCTCATCTTTCTTCGGTATTTCTATGTATATCTAATATGCATGCACAGCATGTATCCTGATATGCTTGAATCTGATCTCTTTGAGCTTTATCCTTTCCCAATCTTCTTATAGGCTCTTTGGAAGAGAAAGAACGTCAATATGGATATGAGTGTATGATGAGAAAGAGGTGAAGAAGCTAGCAAGGGAAACTGTGATAAACTCTATCAAGTTAAATAGTTCTAAAAAGTAGAAATCTCTATCAACACTGTATATATTCATGTTGTCGGTGCCACAATCGGTCCTGTCTACATCGGTTAGAGAGTGGTAGTGTCTAGTAACTTTTCTTGGAGCCAGATTATTACAATAGCGACCGCATAAGTACAGACCAATAAATCTGATAATGATGGCACATGGAACTGTACTGATTTCACATTTTCCTTGCTGTCTTTTCCCCTTCGGTCACACTTTTTTCTGAGCACTGTAAGTTTTTGACCTAAACAAGCATTTCCTTCATTTATTCTGGAGCTAGCACTGCCAGAAATTTAATTTCTATACATTTTTAAGCCAGTAAATTCTTGGGAAATTCCAAAAAGAAGAAGAAGAAGAAGAAGAAAATAACTTCTGAGGTCGGGAATTGTGTCTTCAATGAATCAAACTCTCTCAGAAATCATAATGTGTGATGTCCCTCAGATTCGCATGCGAGTAGTTTGACCTAGGAGGTCAATCAATATTGCTTGCAAAACAATTTTTTTGGTCGAAATTGCTTGCGAAATTCATCAGTATGTAATAGGGTCGACAAGACATTTTCCCAATCACGAGCCCAACAGGAGGTGAAACACTTCAAATCTCCAAAGCAAGATGTGCATCTCTCTTTTCTAATTTGATTCTCTCTCGCTCTGTCTCTCTCATTCCTTCACATCATTGGCACAATTTGTCAGGCATGCTTATATATATGAACAGCACTTGCAGATGGGAAACTATAGCAGCAAACCAAAAATGAAAAAAAGTGGGATTCAAGACGATGTGAGATTTCCTTAATCCTTCTCCTCATGAGCAATATAGAGAAAACTAAATTCAGAACCAACAAAAGAAGAAAGAAAAATGAATCCCCAGAAGAAAAATGAAATGAAAGATAAGCTGACTAGTAGCTAATACTCGCTTCTCTCTCTCTCGCTCTCTCTCTCTCTCTCGTTTCTGTACTACTGAGTGGTGAGAGAGGAGGCATTGCCTGTGGAAGCAGAGGTGGAGGAAGAAGAGGAGTTCTTGTGGTTGTGCATCCACACCTTGAACACCTGCCTGCTCACCCCAACGCTCCTGCAAAACCTCTCGATCTCATCCTCCTCATCCTTCCTCTGCATCTTCCACCCCAGCTTCTCCGCGAACGCCAACATCTTCTCCTTCTGTTCCGCCGTGAACTTCGTCCTGAACCTCTTCTTCCCCGCTCCACCGCCGCTGCTCTCCGGCGAATCCGCCGCCATGTTCAGCTGCCTCCCCCGCCCGTACTCCACGAGCTCCCCACCGGCCATCTCGGCATTGTCCCGGCTGCCGCCCGACCGGCACACCATCAGCCCCCCGCCGCCGGCGTGGGCGGCGGCATAGGTCAACTTCCGGTGGAAGTTGCGGTGGCAGCCGCACGCCGCGCATTGGAGGCTGCCCGGGGAGGCGTCGTCCGATGTGAACTCGCCGCACCCATCGGTCGCATAGCTCCCCAAGCTGGCTGCATGGTTTCTCAAGCACTCTCTATATGCCTCATTCCTATTGTCTCCTTCCATTCTCTCTCTCTATCTCTCTCTTCTCTCTCTCTCTTGATGTGATGTTGTTGCTGTTGTTGTGGTTGGGCTGGATATGTATTTTCGGGAGGATGATGAGGGAGTGGAATTATATACGCTGCCCATGCTGGGTGTTGTATGTCATTTTCTAAATATGTTTTCTAGGGTTTCTTATCTTCTTCTTGTTCTCTCTTAGCTCATTCTGAAATTTAGCTGAGATGAATGTGAGTTGTGGAGCACTATGTATGTTATGTAGCTCTCTCTCTCTCTCTCTCTCTCTCTCTCTCTCTCTCTCTCTCTATGTTAGAGAGAGTGTGTATGTGTGGAAGGTCTTCTAATTAGCAATCATGGGTTCTTGCTATCTTTTAGCATGCTCCTTAACGATCCAAAAAAGAAATATGCACGTCGTTTCCCACCCCCGAAAAAGAGCAGAATATTAGATTTTGGATCCATGTGATGACGCCGACGACGAACTGTGTGGCTCCATGAAATTCAGTTTTCTGCTTTTTCATTTTTGACTTCCATTTCTTTTTATTTTTCTATGTCCGTATCACTATGGAATTTGGATCCTGGTCATCATCAACCTATCTAACTTTGAATAAGCAAAAACGAGCGCCGCAAAGATAATTCTGAAGCGTGCTCGATCTACCTAACCCTCTCCTATCAGTGAACAGCTAAATTCTAAAAATCGATCAGAATGAGAATTTCTTATAAAATAGCTAAGAAAATATAAATTATATAATGTAATTACAAGGCGCTTTCAGCAAGGTCGAATTAGGGTATATTGGCTGTGTGCGGTTTGGCTGGAGTGACGTGGTACACTTCAGTCCACTTGAAAAATATTCCAAAGTTTGAATTCATTTAATCATGTTATGTACCATAAATATGAAGGTACGGAAAATGAAGGAGGGTTTAGCAGTAGTTGTCCTTGTCGATGTTTACCAAAAAACAAGAGAATACACGAATGTCTTGGTTCACGGAACTCGACCATTATAATTGGAGATGAAGGGGACATCTGTAGACTTTTGGTTATTAGTACCATCCCCATAAAGATCAGGGCAACATAAGCTGCACCATCCCTTACCGACATGATGGATGGATACTCAATAGTCAATGCCCATCTCTCTCTCTCTCTCTCTCTCTCTCTCTCTCTCTCTCTCTCTCTCTCTCTCTCTCTCTAACCCATTTTGAATTGCATTATTAAGATGTCCAAGTCCACTATCAGCTGTAAAAGAATTTTACCCCTAGATGGGTGACGTGAATTAAGAGTTAGTTTTGTTACCGGAAATTTTTGACATATCGATCGTAAGGTGGTAAAAGTATAAACCATTTTTTGCGCACTAGCAATTGATCTAATAAATTTTGAATCAACGAATTTATCCCCAAATGAATGACAGTTACCGTATTCACTTGGTCCGTAATAATCATTGTTCTTTATTTCTGCTTGTTTTGTTTCTTTTTCCCCATTTCTAGTTCTACCACAAATTGTTCCAATATGTGCAAATCTCTACTGTATCCTAGGGGTGAGCATTGGTCCAGGGTAGACCCTGGGGCTAGATCAAACTGACACTATGTGGTCTGCTTCAGTCTAATTTCCGCAGGAAATGGTTCGGTCCTCGACCCTAAAAATTGGTAACCAATATTGCACGGTCCGGTTCTAGGGTTAGGGTGCTGAACTGGACCTATGGACCGACCCTAGACTGAACCCATTTTTAACCATGTTTGCTTTGGTTTCAGGTAAATGGAATTTGGAGCAATCTTTCATGAATGAATGAGGAATGAAGTTCTATAATTCATGTTTTATGTTACGTGCTTTAACTTTTTATTGTTTATTTTATTTAACGTGTTCATCTTTTATGGACCGTTGCATTGGCAAGTGGAGATTTCTCATGTTGCTTTAGCTTTCGTTTTGCTTGACCAAGTGATGAGTTGGATAATTCCTTGTAACTTTAGATGTTTTACTTCTCGTCGTTTTGTTGCTAAGTATCGTGGTTCTATATATTATATGTTGATGGATATGTACTTTGAAAGAGTAAGTTTATCCTTTGAAGAAATGAAAAAAAAAATGAAACAAAAAAGAAATTGTCCGGTTCCCTAGATCGATCCTAGAATTGGATCAGACCAGCAAGGTCAGTCCAGGATCGGTTCCAAGTTCCAAAATATGGGAATCGACCCTATGGGGATAGGTTCCAAGTTCTAGGGTTGGATCGGCCCAACTCGAAAACCGCTCACCCCTACTGTATCCTCCACTGCACTGCCGCCGTCGCCCTTCACCTTCGTCGTCAACCTTTAATTGCGGGTGTGGATAGTTCGTCTCTCCCCGTGGATATAAGTGACTTTGGCCGAAACAACATGGTCGCGTTGCATATATTTACCTGTTCCTTGCTTAATTTGTTCTTGATTGACTTATTGCCATTGATTACTCCACCATGCGTTGGTCAAATTCATAGTGACGCGCATGAATGGATTAACGAGATTCTCACTATCCCTGTCTACTATCTAGCGAAACCACAACCAAGAAAACGGGTTGGCAGAATCAGCGGGGAAAAAAGACCCTGTTGAGCTTGATTCTAGTCTGACTTTGTGAAATAATTTGAGAGATGTAGGATAAGTGGGAGCCGAAAACGGCGAAAGTGAAATACCACTACTTTTAATATTATTTTAACGCAAACAAACATAGGAAGACCCATGATCAAGATCAAGAGTTTCCCAATAGACAAGCCAATATGCATGGCTTCGCAAGACCCGGTGAATGCAAAGGCTATCTATGTGGGATTATTGTTCCCAACACGTCGGGACTTGTTATATACAGAAAATAAATTTGGGGGAATTTCATATTTTACTCTCTTCGCTTTATAAACGTCCTGGAAGTCCTCTTTCGTACTCTAGCCTTTAAATCTCGAAAGCGTTAACGAATCACAGCGCTCGCATATGCGACTCTGAGCATGACTGCATGCAACGAAGCATCTGCACGCAGCGACAACGCCAACCTTATGATCAGTCTGATGCATTCAACGAAACTTGTCAGTACTCATTCACGAGATAGTAAAATAAACTCAAGGTCACCGTTTTTTTTCTTCTCTGTCGTCGTCGTTATAGCTCTCCTAGATTTTCGAGAACGATGATGAAGATCGACTTTGACTTGCGGTTGAAAAAACTAGTGGATGTACGAGACCGAGCACGCCGGTGCTTCGTTCACATGATAATCGGTCTATATAGGTAAGAACGAGATGCACGGCTTATTTCAGCGTGCAACCGTTCAAAGTATATTGACAAATGGTGCGAAAAGTGCATGGTAATCAATGTCAAACGGTGGGCTGTGGGGATTATGCTGCACATGCAGCCATCTGATAGGAAAAGCCACCCGTATAATCATTTCAAGAAGTGTGGTTAGTTCATGCTCGATTCTTTTATTCTTCTTTATATATTTCTTTTTGGAAGTGTCGGAACCTTTCAATTCGACCAAATACCTCCACATATAATCGAGTAAGGATTCGTCGGTGGTAACAGCAATATAAGAAATGGTTATATCGATCCGATACCACAAGAGAAGAGGCTCGTGTAAGCACTCTTCTGTCAATTCTTTTGTAATTTTTTGATAGCTCACTTGATATGTCGGAGCATTGTCTCTCTTCAATGTCGAGTCACTGTAGACTGTGTCTGTGTCCACAGTACGTACAAAGACTTATCACTTCAAAGTGCACTGTAGGAGTAGGTTATGAATCAACGAAACCAACAAAAAAAAAAAACCCAGAAATAAAGCTGCAATTTCTGTCTGGCACATTTCAACAGTGGGGGGCCCAAAACATGATTTTCACTCTTATCCTCAGTTGGGATGCTTTGCTTGGTCCACCGAATGCTCCCCTAATCAATAGGCTATACTTCGACCAAAAAAAAAAAAAAAAGCTATACATATGTACCTCAAGAAATTAATTAGGAGGAGGATAAAATGCAAGTATGACGAAGTTGAAATTAATTAGCGTTTGCGCACATCGTCCGAATAATTCCAGCTATTTGTGATTAAATCCACCGATGATCGAAATTGTTGAGATACCAATGGAGACGCGAAGATAGAGAATACGCGTCCAATTATGGGTTCTTTTTCTGGTGGACTGAATTATTAGGTAAGTGTCGTGGTATATGGTGGCATATTGATAAGTGACTAATAGCTAGTTCATTTAATAAAAATTTGACTTGACTGGTAGAGTCACTTTAGATTGTCAAAGTACTTTCTTTTTCACATTTCGGCTCCGTTCGTTTGGCGGAAAATATTCTCCTTTTGAAAAATATTTTCCCGTAAGTCATTTTCCTGGAAAATATTTTCCCGGAACATAATTTTCCGGTGTTCGGCGATCAATATGAAAAAGTTTCGGAAAATATTTTTCGCCGGCGGTGGCGGCCGGCGGCGGCCGGCGACCGGCGGCGGCGGGACGACGACCGGCGGCGGCCGGGCGGCGGCGGACGACGACCGGCGGCGGCCGGCGACCGGGCGGCGGGGCGGACGACGACCGGCGGCGGCTGGCGGCGACCGGCGGCGCGGCGGAGATCGGCGGCGGCCGGGCGAACGGCGGCGGCCGGCGACCGGCGGCGGCGGCCGGGCGACCGGCGGCGGCCGGGCGACGACCGGGCGGCGGCGGCGGCTGGCGATCGGCGGCGGCGGCGGCGGGCGGCGGCGGAGGCGGCGCGGTGGCCGGCGGGCCTGGAGGCTGCGGCCGGCGATCGGCTGGCGGCGGCGGCGGCCGGTGACTGGAGGCGGTGGTGGCCGGCGACCTTAGTGAAGAAGAAGAAGAAGAAGCTCCGGAAAATGATTTCCGCTTTTGAAGAAGCGGAAGTCATTTTTCATAGACTTAGGCTATTTTGTGAAGGGGGGAAGGAAAATATTTTTCCACGGAAAACGTTTTCCGCCCCCCGAACAACGGAAAACCCGGAAAATATTTTCCGGAAGAATATTTTCCGCCAAACGAACAGAGCCTTCGTGAAAATCGATTTGTTTCTTTGGCACAAAAGAAAAGGATTGATTACGCAGGACATAAAATTTGGAAGAGTCATTTTTCTGTTATTTGTCTATGTTAATGAGAAATTGGATAGCACCTGTTGACATGGAAATTTTCAAAAGTAAAATCAAAATAAATTTCTGATTACCATTTGATTTAATCAAATCTATTTAATTGGTTCATCATGAAAATCAATTTGAAAAAAAATATTGACATGGTGATATTTTCTGAATATGTATGTGCAATTTCGAATATATTTTGGTACATTCAAAGATACACATTTTGGAAATACTTTGAAGAGGATATCGTGGAATATCTTCAATGATGTCATATG